AGTACAATCCGACAGTCGCTCAAAGTTCCATCGCTAACCATCAACAATCATACCACACACCAGAGCCAAACGCTACGAGAGACTCCTGAAAGCTCACGGCATCAACCTGGCTGCCCCACGGAGAGCCGCTGCCGCTGCCGCTGCTGCCGGCGCGTCGACCGCTGGTGAGGATAGCGGCGCTGACCCGCAGACTCCCGCTTCCAAGAAGCGCAAGCGTGTCGGCGTTGCCAAGAAGGAGGAGGACGAGGAGGAGACCCCCACCAAGAAGGAGCGCGGTGTGAAGAAGGAGCGTGGCGTCAAGAAAGAGGAGTCCGATGACGATGTCAAGGTCAAGGACGAGTACGGTTCGTTTACCACCAACACCATCACCATTATCACTACTGGCAGCAACCACTCTGCTGCAACTGCTACATACTTTCGTGTCGGGGGCGTCAGCAAGAGTGATGAGCCCGAGACGTCGCCGAGGCAACAGGATCCGGCTGGTCACCGGTCCGGGAGAGCATCTGGGGGAGCAGCAGAGGGCGACAACAATGATGACTGTCTTGTTGTCGGCGATGACTCCGTTGCTTCGCCATCACTAGGCCCAAAACAGGCCCCAGTTGCTCACTCCCGCGGTCATGTCCTCGGTCACAGACGGCTCCCGACACCACTCAATTTTGGATATGACCACTCCCATCACAAATCACCACCACGCTGTCTATTGCCGCGATGCTGACCTCAGATTTCCCCCACAGATGATGATTACATCTCGGAGTAACTTTTTCCTTGGCGCGGCCGGCAGCGATGTGACGCCCTCATCGCACAGTTTTGGGAACAGGAACATCTCTCACATCTCGGCACCGCCTTCTGAGTTTTCTTGCGGGAGACACCATCTTTTGCAATGAAGGTATATCATTTCCAGGAGCCCAAAGTCCAACTTTTCTTTTGAGAATTGTACTAACTAACCCTGTTCCAGCTCAGCATGAACTGGAGGGAAGATACATACCTTTGCCTGGGTGAATTGGATGGTGGTCCGTTTACTTTGCTACCGTGAGAGTTTGGCTTTGGGAGGGTCTTTGCTTGGGTTGGCAACGGCGTGCTGATTAGGAGGAGGTTGCTTTCGTTATTGAAAATGGGCATTTCTCGACCGCTTCTTGTCTCTGCTTCTGATGCCGTGATGCGTGCCGTGCTTTCCCTCTCCGCAAAAATGCCTGAGTGCTGTTGACCCTTTGCGACTCAATCTCCAGGCCGTGGCCCAACTCATATTTAAGAGCCGTTTACTTGGGTTATTGTCCGGCGTATGAGTCTCCAGGGTACTGACGCTATCATAAACAGCCATCGACTTTCCCAGCCGCAGCCCCCAAGAATCCCACTGCCGACCCAGGGCATGCTGAGTGGTAACGTAGCCGAATCTTGATTTACTCAAGAAAACCGATGATTCGAAGATAGCGATAGTCATGACATAGATCTCCTACTTTGATGTGTGTCACTAATTCAGTCTAGCAGGAAGAGGTATTTAGGTAGGTATAAGACGTGACGGTTCTAGGAAGAGTTGTCTTACAGCATGGAGTAGCCAACTTCAAAATCTAATTGCAAGTCAACAACCCCGGGGCCAGAGAAAGCCGGAGGACCCGCGGGTATCGAAGGTTGTTGGGTCCCTTTTCCGTCATTTTTACACCGAGAAAGGCTCGAGTTTGTGAAGTGGGTGTTTCATTTAGTCTTTCAACGCGCTTCTTGGAATGCTATGTAACATACCTTGGTTGTGAATACTAGCGCTGTTTTATCTTCCATCTGGTGTCATGTTTGGGTTTACACACCAAGATCATACGCACAACTTATTGAAATGTAGTTTTCCTAGTGAATTTCCAAACAATATTTCACTTCTACCTTTCTGCTCTCCTCTCCCACCTATAATAACTTCTCCCAGCATTTACACCATTCTCAAACATTTCCTTCTACTTTCTTGAACAGCAGGATATCGACATACCTCAAATCAGCGAGTCAGGACCGGGGAGTTCTCATCTCTCCCCCTCTGTTTCGACCTACCAACTTTTTATTTCTTTTTTTTTTTTCCCTGTCGTTTCCCAATTGTTTAACATTCCCATTCCCCGCCATGCCTCCAAGGAAGAATACTAGTGGCGGAAAGGGTAAAGGAAGAGGCCGCCCTCGCGCCCGCGGTCCCTCTCCCGACCACGACGGGGACTCGTCGAGCGCGTACGAGCCCTCTCCCGAGTTGGAGTCGGACCCCGCCGCCCCGGCCACACCTCGTCGGGAGCCCGGCCCTCCGGCGAGCGGTAGCGGTGCCGCCAGTGGTGCTAATAGTGGCGGCCCTGGTAGCAACAGACGACGGCAGGGAAGCTCACGCGCGGCCAGAGCGTGGGACTTTACCGATGTCCCCCTCAGTCAGGATCAGCGACTGAGGAATATTCGCGCCACCGGGCGTATGCTCATTTCTTGGGGCCGTAAGTTCGATTCCCTCTCGGCGCGCATACGTTTATTGGCATTGCCGTCGCTGAGGGGCAGTGATGTGGCTCAGGGGTTTTGATTACAACTAACACATCCTCACCATTAGGTCCACGGATGGCCGAGAAACTACTCCTGAACATGCAGTACGAGCTAGTTCAGGCCGGGGTCGAGATCCCGTACGACAGGATTGCCCACCGGCTCCGCCCCGGTTCTTCCGGGAGCGCGATATCGCAATTCCTGGGCCGTACCCGTGAGCGGCTCGTGGCAGAGGGCCACCTTGTGCCTCCCGTCCCTGGCTCCATCTTCAGGCGCGAGATCCGGGGCTATGTCCGCCGCGACCCGGAGTCCGACGATCTCCACTCAACCCGCCCGGTGACATTCAGCGAGCCACTCGAGGATAGGTTGGTCAGTTTGCCGGACGCCGCGAACCTCTACGTGGGCCGGCGGCGGAGGGGAGGGCGCAGGGGCGCTCGGGTGAGTGACGAAGGGGAAGAAGAAGAGGAAGAGGGAGAGGAGGAGAGCCCATCCCGCGCCCAAGCGGCTCCCAGGAAAAGGCAGAGGCCATCCCGCGGTTCCCCTGGCTCTGTACCTCGACATCATCGCCAGAATGACAACCGACATGTGGGCATCCAGCCCGAGAGTCCATCGGGCGGCATTGGTGAGTCTGGCGAAAACGACAGGCACGCCGACCCGTTTCTGAGGAACGACGCTTCTCGCTTCCCACGCGCCAACCCTAGACACGCCCGTCGGCATGGGGAAACTCACAGGCCGGTTCCCCGAGCACGAGGCCCCGGATTTTGGCAACCTGAAGTGAGTTCTTGGTCACTCTTGTCGAAGAAGGATAAAACTTGCACCAGTAACTAACCGTCCGCCTTTCCCAGGCTATCCGCGATGTACGAGGTTACCCCCCGGCGGTAGAGGAGCAGGACGAGCAGGATGAGCAGGAGACCGGCTTCCACTGGCGCCAGCCCCCGCCTCCTCGCCCACATCCCGAGGAAGATTTCCTTCTCCCTACTCGCCGTGATACCCAGCAGATGGCACCCAGACATCGCATCCCGCCTGGGCGTGCTGCTGCCCCTCCGGCTGCACTAGGCTACGAGGGTTACGGTTCGTCTGAACATGCAGGGAGGCTCCCACCCAACCCCGACCCGCATTACCGCCCCTTTTCCGAGTACATCCGCCACGGCGGCGGATATGGGCACGGATACTGGCCCCCCATGCCACCCCACCCGGCCGCCGCCAGCCCCCACGGCCCCAACTTCCCCCAACTCCCCTACCAACCGCCGCCTTGGGGCGAACACGGGTATGGCAACCCGAACCCGGACCTCCAGCACCGGGGCCACGGCCCCCCAACCCACAATTTCTACGAACCCCCCCAATACAACGACTACATCAACCGGCCCCTCCCACCGCCGCACCCCACCCCCCCGGGCCACTACAACAACAATAACAACAAGAACGAGGGCATGCACCGCCACCCCGGCGCCCCCCCAATGGCGCTTTTCAACCCGCCCACTCCTCGACGCCCAACGGCGAGAGGCCGCAACGCGCCGTCCGGCGGAGGCCGTCGACAGCTGCCCCCGGCCGCTGCGCCCCCCAACCCACGTGGTGGTCTGCCGTCCCCGGGCGACGAGTCGACGCAGGTGCAGACAAGCCCTCGGAGTGATGGGCAGCGGGAGCAGGATTCGGAGGAGGCTAGTAGTGACGGGGGTGGATCGGTGGTGGTGGAGGGTGAAGTGAAGTATGAGGAGTCGAAGTGAGCTCGGGGTGTTTGTGTGTGTGTTTGGGGTGAGCTCCTTTGCGGGGTGGGTGGGGGGCGTTGTTTGGTTTGATCTGAAGCCTTTTTAAGGGCTTAGTTCTGATTTGTTATATTATATGAGGTTAGCATGGGAATGTATGTCGATGTAGTATGAATCATATCACAGCATCCGCTCCGGGCCCTTGCATCTCGCTCCATCGACTCTGTCCTTGGCCGACCATCTACAGGTATCTTTCGGCAGAACCCCGCCCCTGAGCAGGGTTATTTGGTCGGGCACTCGGCGGTCGACACGTGGACTTGATTGATCGAGAATTAAGTCTAAAAGTAAGTGGTAGCTCATCTGGGAGAAGATATTATACTGAATGAAAGTTGAAGCCTCGGTGTTGTTGATGGTGCTCCATGTTTCCGGGCCGGCGCAAGCCGAATTTAATCCCGATCAATCACCCCCACCTTGATGGATTGCCAAGATTGGGGAACAAGATGCTCGTCCTGTGAATTTTGGAACTGGTCTTGGGGATGTTTGGAGAGTGAATCCAGCCTGCCATACTTCTTGATCCAAAAGAGGACCCTCAATGCCCATAAAGAGACTGCGAACAACGGTTTCAGTGTCAAACTTTTCTCTTGTTCGCCTTGGTGAATACTGGTTGTGGAGTGCCGATGGTTCCAGAAACTGCTGTGTCGATAATCCAAAAAGACGCTAGTACAGTTTGAGTCTAGCGGCGAGGGAGCTCGAGCCAATGCTGGTGAACCTTGGGGAATTTTTTTCGGCTCGATCGCAGGTATCAATAGCGAATTTCTTCCCCCTCTATTTCTCTTCAACTTCCCTTTCACGACCCTGAAGTTGACAGTGATACCCGGCCGAGCTTCTCTTTCAATTTCAATTTTTCTTGTCTACGTTTTAATATACCAGCCACAATGCAGCGTGCGTTGACAAGAGCCTCGGTCTCTTCCCCGCTTGGGGCCGCCAGAGTCCGGTCGACCCAGCAGCTCCGCTTCGCTCACAAGGTACGTCATGAGAGATGGCCTGGCCCCAGTGCTTGTTACTAGAAGCACCGGGGTCATGATGTTTCACGAATAATTATGGGTTGGTAGATGCTAATACTTGCTTCTCACAGGAGCTGAAGTTCGGTGTCGAGGGCCGTGCCGCTCTCCTCAACGGTGTCGAGACCCTGGCCAAGGCCGTGGCCACCACCCTCGGCCCTAAGGGTCGCAACGTCCTCATCGAGTCAAGCTTCGGCTCGCCCAAGATCACCAAGGGTCCGTTACCCCCGAGATAGAACCAGAGCATGACAACAGACTAACACGGTAGCAGATGGTGTAACGGTCGCGAGGGCCATTTCCCTCAAGGACAAGTTCGAGAACCTCGGTGCTAAGCTTCTGGCCGATGTCGCCTCCAAGACGAACGAGGTTGCCGGTGACGGTACCACCACGGCGACTGTGCTCGCCCGTGCCATCTTCTCCGAGACCGTCAAGAACGTGGCTGCTGGCTGCAACCCCATGGATCTCCGCCGTGGTATCCAGGCCGCTGTTGAGTCGGTCGTCGAGTACCTCCAGACCCACAAGCGCGACATCACCACCAGCGCCGAGATCGCCCAGGTCGCTACCATCAGCGCCAACGGCGATGAACACATTGGCGCCCTGATCGCCAACGCCATGGAGAAGGTCGGCAAGGAGGGTGTCATCACCGTCAAGGAGGGCAAGACCATGCAGGACGAGCTCTCGGTCACCGAGGGCATGCGCTTCGATCGCGGTTTCGTCTCCCCCTACTTTATCACCGACGCCAAGGCCCAGAAGGTTGAGTTTGAGAAGCCTCTGATCCTCATGTCGGAGCAGAAGATCTCGGCCGCCGTGGACATCATCCCCGCCCTCGAGATCTCCAACAAGCTCCGCCGCCCTCTCGTCATCATTGCCGAGGACTTCGAGGGTGAGGCCCTTGCCGTCTGCATCCTCAACAAGCTCCGTGGCCAGCTCGAGGTCGCCGCCGTCAAGGCCCCCGGTTTCGGTGACAACCGCAAGTCCATCCTTGGCGATCTTGCCGTCCTAACCAACGGCACCGTCTTCACCAACGAGCTGGACGTCAAGCTCGAGAAGCTCACCCCTGACATGCTCGGCAGCACCGGCTCCATCACCATCACCAAGGAGGACACTATCATCCTCAACGGCGAGGGTAGCAAGGACGCCATCGCTCAGCGCTGCGAGCAGATCCGCGGCGTCATGGCCGACCCCACCACCTCCGAGTACGAGAAGGAGAAGCTCCAGGAGCGTCTTGCCAAGCTTTCTGGCGGTGTTGCCGTCATCAAGGTCGGCGGCTCCTCCGAGGTTGAGGTGGGCGAGAAGAAGGACCGCTTCGTTGATGCCCTCAACGCCACCCGTGCCGCCGTGGAGGAGGGTATCCTCCCCGGTGGTGGCACTGCGCTCATCAAGGCCTCATGCAACGCTCTCAACGACCTGAAGCCTGCCAACTTCGACCAACAGCTTGGCGTTAGCATCGTCAAGAACGCCATCACCCGCCCGGCGCGGACCATTGTCGAGAACGCCGGCCTCGAGGGCTCTGTGGTCATTGGCAAGCTCAGCGATGAGTATGCCGGCGATTTCAACAAGGGCTTTAACAGCGCCAAGGGCGAATACGTCGACATGATCGAGGCCGGTATTCTTGACCCCCTCAAGGTCGTCCGGACTGGCCTGATCGACGCCAGCGGTGTCGCCTCGCTCCTCGGCACCACCGAGGTGGCCATCGTCGAGGCTGCTGATGACAAGCCCATCGGCGGTGGCGGCATGCCCGGTGGCATGGGTGGCATGGGCGGTATGGGCGGCATGATGTAAAATATTGTAGCGTGTATATGTGCGACGGTTCTGGTCTTGATTTACGGCGACTCGGTTGGGGGCATCTTTGGTGTTTTCGGATTGTACAATGAGCCATGTCATCTCCTCTCTACGCTTCCTCTTGTGTTCATAGCCGCATGTTCCGGCAGTGGGTGGCCCTGTATATTACAATCACACTGGGGTAGATAGAGCAAAGGAGAGAAGAACGAACCCTGATTCTAATTGACTGCATGATGAAGCCTGGTGATCCGGACATGGTTGTTGAGATGGTGGGTGGTGCATTACCCAGGCAGAAATATCGTGGCCTGATCTGAATTAAGGAGATGACGAGTCTCTTCATACCCCATGGACCTTTGTTAACCCTCCAACTTTCCTATCAGTTGCAACCTGACTGCGAAACCCTGGAAACCCAACGATGGGGGTTGCTTTGTGGGTGGGACAGAAAATGGCTGTGAACAAGGGGCCTGCATCCCTGAGCTGCCTGCCTTTAGTGTGGGCCACCCCGCGCCGAAATCACGTAAGCTTGGCAGCCCGCCGTCACCGCCGACAACGACCCCACCAAATGGAGCTGGTGTTGTTTTTCAGGCCCCCCCTCCATCCGTTTCATTATCGCTGGCTCACCTCCACTGCATCGTTGTACTCGCACTTACCTACCTTGCTTCTCATTTCCCCTTTTTAGCGGGTGAATTCCATTCCACTTGCAAAGACTCTTTCTGGCTGTCTGGTCCAGAACGCCAATAATATCCCTTGTCGTAAGTGCACTCGCAAGCCAGGCTGTGCTCACCGAGCTCTTGTTATTTAACCCCTCTTTTCGCTCCTGCCTGGCGTCGCAAACCCCAGGCCCGCCCACAACATAACATCCCCGTGTCTTGCGACCGACTTTCGCTAACCACCACCACTATTGAACACAGTTTGCCGTTCTCAATTCACACACTTTATTCCCGTGCTTGGACGATACAAGGCTCGCGCCTCAACATCTCACATCATGGTAATGATTATCACCCCGCCTTTCTCCTTCTCGGTGGCTTGGGCATGCTGACCTGGTGCTTTGCGCAGTCTCAATCCGGGTTAGTAGTCCCGACTCTCCACACCAACGGCTCTGTTCTTCTTTAGTCACCGCGCCCCGAACGCCGCATCCATTAGTCCCCATAGCGAACATCGCATCCATTAGCCCCTATAACAAACACCAAGGCGGGACGGATGGCTGGCTGTTGCTAGAGGCAGACCTGCACAGCTCGAACTAACCCATGACTTCCAGAGCGACCGTCAACCAAGAATGCATAGAGGCCTACAACAGTCTCAAGCTCAACAAGAAGTACAAGTACATCATCTTCAAGCTGTCCGACGACTTCAAGGAGATCGTTGTCGAGAGCACTAGCGATGACGCCCCTGAGTACGACGACTTCCGCGAAAAGCTCGTCAAGGCCCAGTCCAAGACCAAGTCTGTATGTAGCCCCGGGCGGCCGCTAGAAAGTTGTATTATTTGCCGCCAGGCTGACACAGTGGCCGACTTGGCTTCCAGGGCACTGTGTGCAAGGGTCCCCGTTACGCCGTCTACGACGTCGAGTACGAGCTCGCGTCTGGGGAGGGCAAGCGGTAGGTCTACCCGAACAAGCAACGCCCCCGAGTGTCAAGACTGACAGACCGGCAGGAACAAGATCACCTTCATCGCCTGGTCGCCGGATGACGCCGGTATCCAGGTCCGTCAGCCCCTATCGCATCCTTTATACGTCTAAACCATCGCTGACACTTTGTACCAGCCCAAGATGATCTACGCCTCCTCCAAGGAGGCGCTGAAGCGCGCCCTGAATGGTATCGCCGTTGAGATCCAGGCCAACGACACCGACGACATCGAGTGGGACTCGGTGCTGAAGACGGTCAGCAAAGGCACCGCCGCCTAAAAACGGGGAGCATGGTCTTTTTGGGTCCTGGTGTCTCATTCTCTAGTTTGGCTTGGTCGGGCGAGCGTTGTTCCGGTAATTACGGCGCACTTCTCCTCTTTTGGGCAGTGTGTGTGGCCTGTGTTGCTTGCGTTCTTGCGTGCGATGTACTGCGAAAGCAAAGACATGACATGTTTCCGCTGATCAAGGAGAAAAGAGAGTCGATGTTCACGACGGCAAAAAGCGATTGGCAGAGGGTGCGCCCGCCCTGGCTGAGGAATGTTTGTGCATTGGTCTGACGTATCGTATCGCCCCTATGTGGAGGGGAACGGAAATATTGGGGAGTGAGGGAAGCCACATGTGGGAGCTGATAGCAATGAATACACCGCCGAGGCGGCTCGTATAAACACCACCTTCCTGACATCCCCTAACCTCTCCAACCCACACATCATCATCATCATCACTGCGCTCTATGCCCTGCCCTCCCACGCACCCCTAAACACCCCCAAAGCATCACCCGCAACCCCCTCATCCCGCACCCTCTGCTGCAAAAAACCCTTCAAATCCTCCCAAAACACCTCCGTCTTCAACACCCCCTCCCCACTCAACCCCTGCGCAACCGGCGCCGCCGCCGCCGCCGTCACCTCCCCACCCCCTTCACCACCCACCCCTCTCTCCTCCTTCCCCCCCTCCTTTCCCCCCAACCCCTTAAAAAACACCGCCCCTCCCCCCAAAACCATCACCCCCAACTCCACCCCCCCAGCCCCAGCCCCCTCAGAAGAAGAAACGAGCTCCTTCAGCACCTTGCTATCCCCAACCGGCTTCTTCCCCGCCAGCAGCTTGATCTTGTCCAGCGGGATCCCTGTCTCGGCCGCCAGCTGCTCTTTGATCTCGGCGAGGGAGGTGGTGAGCGCCACGGCGGGGAGGACGAGTTCGAAGGGCGGGTTGCGCGCGGAGCGCAGGGTGACGGAGGTGGCGGGGGCGGCGCCGGGGTTGCGTTTTGTGGTTGGGGCATTTTCGGAGGTGGTGGTGGTGGTGCCGGTGGTGGTGGTGGGTGGGGGTTTGGAGAAGGGTTTTTGGGAGGGGTGGCGTGGGAGGGTGTACTGTGGATGAGAGGTTAGTTTTGGGGGTTTGGCTGGGTAGGTAGTGATTGTTGGAGGGGGAGAAGGGGGGACGAACGGGTGAGTGGCTTGGGTAGCTGCGCGGGTCTTCGATGTGGTCGGGCGAGATCTTGGCGGGCCGGCCGTCGAGGTGGGAGAGGAAGGTTTTGGCGAAGAGTAGTTCGGTTGCCATTTTTACGGTTGATTTATTTCGCTTTTTGTGGTGTAGCTTTAAGGTGGGGTTGGTGGAAGAAGGAAAGACAGCTTCGAAGTTGGCCCTCAGCTTGGTCGTGATGCGAAGTTGGAGGTGAGGCGGGACTCGCTCGGTGTCGTCGTGGTGGGGGTGGGGTGGGCTTATCTTATCTCAGCATGAGGAGCGAGAAACACCAGCCTCGATCCTGCACACCTCAACAAACTGTATTGTATTGGATACGAACTTGGGAGTCCTACCTCATTTTTTTTTGTATCAAATAATTAATTGTGTTCTATTCCTAAAATTTTTAATCCATTCAGGCGGAATTTGCGCCTCCATGTTCGATTTGATGTTGGCTGACAGCATCTCCGAATGCCTTCGTATGCTATGACCTGAGCGTGGAGAGGTCCCAGGTCCTGTCCCAACCAGCTCCCACCAAGCAATCCATAGTCTGAGATAAATGCCCACATGTAACCTCCATCGCTCGCCAAGTAACTAATAGCAACGGAGAGCACAGTCGATGATGGAGAAGTGGAGAGGAGAACAGAAGCATATTAGATTAAGCAAGCTATTCGGAAGCCGAGCATGGTCAGGACTACCATGACCTATCTATCTGTCGTTACTCATCTATCGTCTAAGTCGTCATTCATCATGTCTCATTCCTGCCGAGTCCTCGGCCATGCCTTGCTTGTCGTGCTGCTGTGGTCGCGGCAAGGCGGCCAGATAGAAAAAAAAACCCGAACCGTTCCTGGTGCTCTGATTCTGCAGGCCACTGGGAAAATCCCAAAGTCCTTGTTCAGGTCAGGCAACCGACAATAATAAAACACCGTATGTATGTAGGTCCGGCCATGCAAGCCAGTCCGTTCCGAGTCGTAATACATGGACGTCGTGATGTTGCTGTCGAAACTCCAAGTCGTGATGTGATGCCTCTCACTTTCCGATGGTAGTTTGGCGCCCTTGGTGTGCAATGCCCCAATCTATCCTTCTAGGGCCACTGGCGCCTTAGTTATCGCTGACAATGTCGCGAATGGCCCACTTCCAGGCGTCGCCGCGGTCACCCTGGTTATTGATCCAGAGATGGCACTTCTTTCTCCACCGGTCTTCTTCTTCGCGTTGTCGGCGCACAAACTCGGGCCCGACGTCAAACTCCTCGCCTACCGGCCACTCGTGATTGATGTCGCTGACACGCGGGTTACCGCCGTCGCTGGACGCCATGGTGCGCTCCTCAAGGTCGGGAATATCTCTAAACACGTCCTCGTCATCGTCGAAGGCGTTAAACCCGTCGAGCGTGTCGCTCTTTTCTGATTTGCTCTGTGGGGCTAGCTTCAGCCAGCACATATTTTGCGGGTCAAAGACCATGCCGCCGACGACCTGCACGCCTTTGGTGGCGCCGATGTTGGTAATCAGGGCCGGACGCGGCGTGGCAGTCTCCCGCTCGCGGACAATTGGCTGGGGTACCGAGGTGATAGAGGGAGAAGAGTTTGGGATCTCAAACGCACTAAGCGCGTTGTCATTGCCCTCCCATTGGAAAGTCTCCGGGTTATACCACATTCCCTTGACCACTACAATGTGTCAGCAGTGCTACGTTATAAGGGGTGGAAGGAAAAACGGACTCTTTGGGTCTTTTGGCGGATTGAGATTCGATATCAGATGCGGCTTGGATTGCGGTGAGCGCCGCAATTTCCTGCCCTTGGCTGCGGGTAGCCCGAACTGCGGCTGGGCATTATAATTATTCTTGACCGAGAGCTGGGCAATCCGCTGAGTGGTGAGCGGCGCAATCATGCCCGCTGGGTTGCGCTGTGCGAGACTCGCCTCCCGTGCGTTCCGGCTTGCGGCAGTATCGCGAGCAAAACTCGGCACGTTATCGACGCGGGAAGAGTAGGGAGCGCGAGGGGATGGGGTGACAGTACGGTCGGGTAGAATGCTTTGGTATCCTCTCATCTTTGTTTGCGACTTGGCGCTGAGTGGCTGCTTCAGGAACTTGGATTCTGCGTTGGTCGAGGTAGGCAAATCATCAAAAGCATCCAGCTCATGACCGTCACCAAAGTTTCGCACCCGTCTGGGCATGCTGAGCCTCCCCCAGGCGCCCTCTGGCGTAGCTTTCTCGGCCGAACGGTATAGACGCGGACTAGGCGACCGTATCGTCGATCGAGAAACCGCCCTGGAGTTGGGTCGATACTCGATGCTTGTCTCTGAATCATGACGACGAAACGATCGGGTCTTGGCGTTGACATTGTATGACTGGATTGCTGATGCGCCGGCGGGCAAGAACGGCACAGGGGCCTTGCGGGCCAAGGCAGCGGCGCTTTCAGAGGTCCGCATGCGCTCAACAGGAGTTTTAGGCCGCAACGTGGGCGGACCTCGGCTTGCTTGTTCAGTTCGAGAGGGAGGTCGCTCGTATCCGCGAGTGGGTGGGGGCCTCGCCGGGGACTGGGTCGCGCGCATCGCGGGCAACGACCGCTTCAGGCGGAGCAGTTGCGCATTTGTGGTGGTTGGTTCGGTCCTCAGCGACACCTGCGATGTCCTTTGGCCAAGTTCCCTCCTTCGCGGCGTTGTAGGTGTTATGGTTTGCGCAGACGAAGGTGTCGATGGGGTCGTAGCACTGCCGAGGCTGGTCACCGAGGATTGTGCTGAGTGCAAAGAGCGCCTCGAGTGGGCGCGCTGGATTGGGCCGCCGCTCTCAGAAACAGGTTCTAGCGAAGATTGTGTATGCGACCGCTCGTGGTTGACCATCGGCCCCATAGGCCGCGGGAGTCGGGATGCAGTGACGGGCTTGTTCGTAAACTTGAGCGCAACCGATGCCTTGGGTCGTGAAGGGCTGGTGGGCCTGGTGGCTTTGACCTGAATGTTGCGGTTGAGCGTCAACTTCCTCGAGTCGAAAACTTCCCCATCGCCGATATCGAGGCCGGTTAGGAAGTCTTCCTTGTCATCCTTTTCCGATCTCCGTTTAGTAGGCTCCTCCCTGGCGGGCTCCTCCTGGATGGTTTCTTCCGGAATCCGTGCTGGAGAACGGCTCTTGCGACGGCGTTTCAGGCGCTCTCCGAAATCAAGTGGCCCGTTCGGAATGATCAAGCCATCAAATGCCTCGTCCTCGCTCTCCATGATCGAGCTCGCGATACTGGGACTGAAGGCGGAGACAGACGAGCTGCGAGTGGACTGGGCATCTCGTCGAGTACCGCCGAATCTCGTTCCAAGGCTGCCTTCGGCCCAGTCGAGGTCTTCTAGGATGTTAGTGAGGGTCGGGGTTTTTGGTATTTCCCTCTTGGACGAAAGCTTCAGCTTTCCATCCGCCGGAAGTTCGAAATCATCCTCGAAGTCGTCATCGCCACCGAAGGCTCCGCCGGTGGGTTTCTGAGGAGTCGGGGGTGTGATTAAGGAAAGAGGCTTCGGCGCCTCACGTCTCTTGGACACCTTGATGGTGTCGCCACCATCTCCGAAAAAGTCGTCGTCGTCATCATCAGCGTCTCGAAACTTTTCCAGGTCAATAAAACTTGATGAAATTGATTTCGTGTCCTTTGGCTCCTCCTGCGTCGCTATGGTGAACTCTCTTGGCGGCTTTAATGGGCTCGGTTGGTTCGAGTTGCTGACCTGGCGTAGGACTTCCGGAAAGTGAGCGTTGTCCCGAGATTTAATTTGCAAGACCTGTCCGGCATCGGGAAACTCAAGGTCATCCACCCAGTCCTCTTGAATTATCTTCTTGATCTTCCTGCCGCCAAGCCGCTTGATCGTGCCTCCCATGAGAGCCGAGGGCGGGACGTTCTTAGGGAGCGGGATGCCGGCCTTTGCGGCCGCAGCGATCGCATCGAGGGTCGATTTCTCGTCATTGTCCGGCAAATGAACCTGCTTCTCCTCCTCCCCGTGCACGGATTCAAAGTCGGATCGGAACGAGGATGCCGAATCGCGGCGGTTGGATGAAATGTTGACCGAGTTCGAAATGGAAGGAAAGGCGATATCCTCCCCATCAATAAGAAAGTCTTCATCGTCCCAATTTTCTATCGGGTCCTCCACGGGCGGCCGTGCCTTCAGGCGCAATGTCGAGGAGTCCATGGTCGATGCTGCAAGAAAAATGCGGGCTGAATACGAGATTGATAAAATGGCGGCTCCTTGGTCGCAGCGAGTGCATCAGAACACACTGCAACGTGTAGCGCGGGGCGTGGTAGTCAGTGATGAGGATTCATAGTCGACAACACTGAGCCTTTGGCCACCAATCGCTAACAGTTGAGTGATCAATTCGATTCGAGTCGGAGAGCGCAAAGGTTGGGCTGGAGTTGTGTGGTCCACAGGCGCGATTCAACGCAAGTTCGAGTTTTGCCCAATTATGCGATTTCGGGTCGATGGGATGGGTGAACGTGCGGAGTTGAGGGGTGCCGTGCGTGCGGATAATTCTGCGTCGAGGTCGGGATGAATCGGATTTCGCAAGCTCCAAGTATCGAAGTCCTTCAGGGGACGACAAGAAGGATAATTGGAAGGATGTGGTAATATCTGAGGTGGTGTCGTGTGTCCTGAAGGAGGGCGATGCTGGCTTTGCGAAATTGAAATGGCGGGACTGGTCAAATCGAGGTCTGTGGCTGGAAAAGTCGGGAGAGGGATGCAGAGAGCAGGCGAAGGGCCAAGCACCCAAGCACCCGAGAGACAAGGGTGGAGCCACTATTGGGCGGGCCAGGTAACGAAGCCGGCTTCCCCAGGACCCCACTCTCCCCAGAATATTCGCACACAGTGGTGAGACAGGCACGGTTCCGGTTCTCTGGCAAGCCTCCACCGATGGTAATTATTTGACACATGAAAGTTGACTCAGACTGGAAAAAAAAGGTGTTTGCTTAAACCCTGCAATCATTGTTTTCACGCGTGTTTCCTGGGGAACGATTCCATGCAGGTACCATATCTTTCGTGGATGCAAACACCCCATGACCCCAAGAGTTGGCTCGTGCAGCGTCGCCTCAGTCCCTGGCCATTGTAGCCACCTGGTTCGTCCAGCCCTGATGGGTGGGCATCGCGTTTATGACGCGAAAACCGGACGCGACCCCTCCCCGCCTTGGCAGGTTCCCTAACACCGAGCAGCCTTAGCATGAACAATACTTCATGGCTATTCAGACGAGTTGAGCCTATCGCTATATCCAAGCCTCCTCCCGCCTGGATGGAGCGACAGAATCTCGCAGCTAACAGCATCGAAGCAGGCCCAGTGTCACATGTAGATCACGACGTCAGTACTCGTATATCTGTCGAGCGCAATCACATCGTCGGACCACGGCGGCGCCACGATTGGAGATGGGCCAACTTCTCGGCTCATACAAAAACCAGTCATTTTCGTCCGGCCGGACGAAAGTGTCCTTTCCATAGCGTATTGATACCTGCAACCATTGCTGAAAGTTTAAAAATTGAGAAAATAACAATGGTTACTGCATGTTCCGTGTCTTCTTTTTTGAGAGCTGAGGTTGCCTAAAGTTGAGCCCACTTGCTGCCTGCGGCTTGCAGGTCTGAGCTCAATAACACATCCCGATTTTCCCACCTTCCATAAAACTCAGACTTCCGCCATCTCTACTTCATAAATAGGTAACTAACCCCGGACAAGAACGGATGAAACGAGATAGAAGCTTTGCATTGGCGTTTAAACAAGGCTCTTCTAAGCGCCCGCACCTCCACATTCTGGAGTTGATCCCCTCCCCCACCAAGCCTCCCGTTCGGCACCGTTCTACGAGAATTGAAGCTGTGGAACGAATCGAAGGTTGATCATTTCGGAGCATTGATACGCCTTCCTTCAATCTCACGGCCTGTTTCACACCAGCGGCGCCGCTTCCGTCAACCAAGGCTGCAATCGACGGAACCGTCTGCTCCGCCGGACCACCAATCTCCGTCCCGTCCCGGCTGCGGGACCCGATCCATCCACCAAGGCAAGATCATGGTGTCCTCCCACATCATACGCGTCCCTCGGACGGACGAAGAGGGTGCGTTTGTACTGGGTGAGGTGACACCGTCGGGATCCAAGCCACTGAACATCAAGTTTGTCGCCACCGAGGGCGAGGAACCCTATGTGGTCAAGTGTGAGTTCCTGTTCCCCTCTGTCCAGTCTAGCGTAGCTTCTGGGTCAGCAGATCCCATGCAGTCTATGCATTAAGCCGCTGCCTTGGCCGTTTACTTAAGCTGATCATGCACCGCAGTAAGGCACGACCGGATTGGTGAGCTGAGGGCTGGTAGCAGCGCCTGTACGTCGGAGGAGTGGGAGAGCATCCTGAAGGCTCTCCTTCTCGGGGCTGAGCCAATTGAAGGGATCGAAGCCGGTGCGGAGGCCAATGTGGGCAAGTCAATTACGATCACCATCAGGCGGCGGGTTGCTGGCATCAATGTGAGCCTTCTACGCCCTAGATGTCGGTTGCGGAGCTAACAATCCCCCCCTTTTTAGCAACGTCTTGGTTCTCTGACTCTTAACCACAAGGAAGATGAAGCCATTCAACTGTTTGACTGGTGCAGTGGTGCGGCGATGCAAAGGGAGAAATTCCACGAGACAGCAATCGCTGAAAAGGCTAAAGTAACCGATCTCGAAGCCCGCATCAGCGAGCTGAGGAATCAGCTGGAGGAGCTCACCGAGTCCAAGAAAACTAGGGAGACTGAGATGCTGGAGAAGTTTTGCGGACTGCTTAACGAGAAGAAGGTCAAGATTCGCGAACAACAACGTCTTCTCAGCACTGCCCAGGTCGACCCGTCAAAGCTTGAAGCAGTACGCGCCTCTCAATCTATGCGTACCCACATTACAGGAGACCGCAAACCCGCTGAGTCCCGGCGTGCAAAGCGCAAGGCGCTTGAAAACGCCTCTGGCGGGGGATCGTCTTCGGACTCGGACGACGGTTTCGAAAAGGTGACGGCCAGCGCCGCCGCTGAAAAGATGGACATCGATTCCGAGGAGCCATCACCACGGCAGGCCGTCAAGGAGAGCCCGGAGTCTGAGGACCGTGACACTACCGATGGCGAAGCAACGGAAACCGGGAGCGAAGCGGACGAGGAAGAGTCCCCGCCGCCCAAGCCTCGCCAGCAACAAAAGCCGGCGGCTGGGCCCGGCGCAGCAGCAACCAACAAGGCGGCAGGGAAAGGGAAGGGAGTCGTTATACACCCCCCAAGGAGACCGGTCAGGAAGGCCAAGGCTGCTACGCCGCCACCGGCCGAGGACAGTGAGACGGAATCAGACGATGAGCTGTGAGCGACGTACAGGATTATGGACCTTGGGTAGGAAGACATGTCTGAACTTTAACAAACCCATATTTCAGTTAACTAAGCATGATTCGCAGAAAGATAGTTCAATGGGTCTCTGGATCAAGGAGGGGTCGGCCTTCTGCCCCTGTACCGAGATGATGTGTGCTGCCGTCAAGGTTTCTGGCCTCGCTCGCTCGATTTGATCAGGCGCAACTCCAACCACTCATATGCAATCGGCACCGAGGCCGCGCAAGACATATAAAGCAATACCTACCTAGCTACTCGGCAGTCGAGTATGGTAGCTGGAAGTAATGGAAAACCCATAATCCATGGTGACTTTTACCACTCCGCTTTCCAGACCGTTGGCAACGTCGTTTGTTTAGGGTTGCTGTGGCAACATCAACAAGTCCAGCGAGTTCTGGCGCGCTTAAGTTGGAGAGTTACCAAGACCTACAGCCCCTGATACTTTTGCCGCGACGCCCACGAAACCAGAAATTTGCCACGATAGATGTCGACAGCAAGACGACGCAGTTCAGGCAGAAGTACATCGAGTACCTCAATGGCGTGCTTGACAAAATCCAGGAGCTTGATGATGATGTCTGCATCTTAGGGGATGAGCAGCTTGCGACACTCAACATACGAAGGGCAGAATCTCTCGACATCGAGGAACAGACAGTGGATTTTGGACGTCGCTTTTTTCGCCCTCGTTTTACGATTGACCAGGCGCGGCAGAAGACTACAGACTTCATTGCCGACCACGAAGAAGAACTTTACCATCACGTCTGGCCCAAAAGATGCCGGCGCGGATCCTTCGGTAACGACGTGTGTGAACCCTTGCTGGGTCCTTTGGACCTGGAGGAGAGGCACCCGCTATGCTATGCAGAGGCAGATGCACAACGCAGGTTGGATTGGTTTATTGCTGCCACCGGCATATATTACGAGGAAGACCCATGGAACACTTCTCCCAATCTAGGCGTTTGGGAGGGCTCAGAATGGGAGTTTTGGCCGTGAGTTGTCGGGCTAAATTGATCGAGAAAGATCATCTCATGCTGATCGATGTCCACTCCCCGCTAGTCAGTATCGCATCTCGGGTAACCTTCCAGGGCACTCCCCCCCTGGTGCCCGAGTTGGGAACCCTCCACAAGCCTACTCATTCCAAGTAAGCATGGCGTTTGATCGAAGATGATGCCACCCAAATACCACACCTTGGAGGCACAGTTCTGGACTCGGTCGAATCTCAGGAAGGGGAAGTCCTGCGTAGCGAGATTGTGGCTGCCGTTGCCTTGCTCAAGCTCCAATTCCGCCGCGGTAACTTCTGCCACCACCACGCCCTGCCCGTAGGCACTGCCCTTCGATTCCCTCCCTACTGCCTACCATCAAGTCTCTTGCCTACGAGATTCAGCCGCTAACCCCCAATCGAATGGCGTGTAGGTCATCGTCTTCTCTTTCCAGCATGACAGATTCGGCCGTGTGACACAATTCCACTTTGACGGTCGATCTCTCGTGCTGCGACAGTCTCGCCTCCTCAACTTCCGAAGCGACGAACCAACCGTCGATGCATACCACATGATCCGCTGGATGGCCAACCAACCAATGGGCGAAACCAGGTTCCGTAACCCGCCGGCGGCCGAGGACAGCGAAACTGAATCAGACGTTAAGTTGTAAGTGGTGTACAGGATTACAGACCTTGGTTAGGGAAAATACATGTGAGCTCTAGGCAAAACCTGTATTTCACTCAGTCCTTGACCATGATTCGCAAAAAAGATAGTCGGTGCCTATCCCAAATCTCTCGCAATGCCTCGGCTAGGAGTACAAAAAAACCAAAACACCAAAAACATACAACACCGGGGATTCGCTGGTCGTCACCGACCCAACTACTAGTCCAGCCGTCGGTAGCTTGTCTAGGGGAGAGCGGACGGGATCCCGAATTTTCTACCGCGTATGGTCGTATGTGAAAGACGAAGGGGAAGGGAAGGCTGATATGCCTCAGTGGTGGTGTTGAGGCTAGCTCCCCGCCCGACCCCCAGCCATCGCCGCTTCACCGGCGATCATCCTCAGCAAACTCCTTTCCCCAGAACCCTCTAAAATGCTTCTCCCTCCCCTTCTCCGCAATCTCCTCCACCTCCCTCGGCGTCAGCTTAAAAAGCGGCAACCTTTGCATCCACCCCTTCAGCCGCTCCTCGCTCGAGCTCGTGGTAATCGCCACAATTCCCTGATCCAGGCACCACCTCAGCGCCACCTCCCCAGGCGTAACCCCATACTTCCCCGCCAGGCGCTCGTAAACAGGATCCACAGGCCCCGGCGCGGCCTTGGTGATAGCCGTCAGGGGCGAGTACGCCTGGACAGCAATCCCCTTCTCGCGGTGGTAGGCCAGCAGGCCGTCCGGGTCGTGCTGCAGGTAAGGGTGGTACTCGATCTGGTTGACGGCGGGCGGGCGGGCGGCGGCGCCCGGCGTCTGCAGGGTGGCCTCGAGGTGCTCGCGCAGGTAGTTGGAGACGCCGACGGAGCGGGCGCGGCCCGAGGCGCGGATGGCTTCCATCTCGGTCCATTTCTGTTGGAGGTCGGCGGGTGTCTGTGCCCAGAAGGGACTGTGGATCAGGTACAGGTCCACGTAGTCCACGCCGAGCTTGGCGAGGGACCGGGCGAAGGCGGTTTCGACCGTCTCGCCGGGGCGGCAGGAGGTTTTGGTGGTGATGAAGAGCTTGGATCGGTCGACGCCGGAGCGCGCGATGGCGGCGCCCAGCTCGGCTTCGTTGCCGTAGGCTGGATGTTGGGGGGAGGGTTTGGGTTAGGATGGGGGTTGCAAAGTGGGAGGAGGGGGGTGGGTCGGGGGATAAGGGGTAGGTAGGCATACACTCGGCGCAGTCTAGGTGGTAGTAGCCGCTTTTGATGGCAGTGACGGTCGTGTTGATGATGTCTTCGTCGAGCTTGTCCGTTTGCCCGTTTGGACCTGGCTGTTCCGAGACCGTAGCCAACCTTAGACCGGGAGTGTAAACAAGGTGTGTCGTAGACTACAGATGGTTTAAGTTCTGAGTACTTACCATGGGGATCTCATTCCCGTCGTTTAGCTTCAGGAAGGGTATATATTCGGTCTGCTTAGGGGCAGTTCCCGAAGTATCGGCGTGGAAGGTGGATGTGGCCGAATTCATTTTCACTGATATTGCTCGCGGCGAGGGAAATACCGTGCAATAACATCTGAGGAAGACAACGTCCGCTTCATGGATGGGTTGTGCTATTTCATCCTATCTACCCAGGTACAAAGACTAGCACCGAGCTTGGTCCGGAAAGCCGAGGCCGCCCCAATGCTGTGGTACCTGGGCTGGTGCTTCGAACCCCGCAATCAACGTCTGTACCTGTACCGAGTGCCCCGCACCGGCGGCATGAAGTGCCATGAGTACAATCTCTGACGTCATCAACCCAGGTAAGGAAAATTCAGGAGTTCATCAGTTCACCATTCATCAAACTCCAGGTGCTGTGGGGTCGAAAAGTTGCCACAAAACGGGACGGGGCGGTATGTACATTGGTGTAGAATACAGGGGCCTGGCAGCGTGGATACCGATTCCCCGCCGTTCCATCGCCCCGGGACGCCACCCGGACCTTTGTGTCCAGTGGATGGGATATGTATGTACAAAACCACTCACCAGGTAATCAACTGGTGGTCAAGCTAGGCTTTGAACATACACAAAACCGTCTCACATCCTCGTATGATTTTTGGTGTAATTATCACAAACCGCATCAATAGCGACACAGTTTTCCAAATCTCTAGCTCAGAGTTCTTCTGCCCTTCCACACACTCCACGCCGTCATCGCATCTGCCCGCTGCAAGCCGAGCAAACCCGGAACGGAATCCGCGACGGGACCCTCGGCATTAACTATCAACTGGCATCTTGAATATATCAAGACAGCCTCATGCGCTTCCAGCCCGCTGCTCGCTGTCTAGCAGTAGCCCAGCAATTTCGAGGCCCCTGGAGCCGATCATATTCCGCATTCACATTCAACAGCCCTCACGCCATGGCTGCACCCAACAGTTCCTCGTCATCGACTCAAAGAGAGAGTGAAGGAGTCACACTCGCCGCGCTCCCCAAGTCATGGCATTTCACCTCGTCGCTCCCCGCAGACCAGCTCTTCCCAACCCCAGCCGACAGCCACAAGGCGCCGCGCGAGGATCTCGGCCCGCGCCAGGTGCGCAATGCCCTGTTCACATGGGTCCGCCCCGAGACCCAAAAGGAGCCAGAGCTGCTCGCCGTATCCCCAGCAGCCATGCGCGACCTGGGGCTGGCGCAGTCCGAAGCAGAGACGGAGGAGTTCAAGGAGACGGTGGTCGGCAACAGGATTCTGGGCTGGGACTCTGAGACCCTCTCGGGCCCCGGCTACCCCTGGGCGCAATGCTATGGAGGGTTCCAGTTCGGCGACTGGGCTGGCCAACTTGGCGACGGGCGAGCCATCAGTCTCTTTGAGGCGACAAACCCCCACTCGGGCGTACGCTACGAAGTCCAGCTCAAGGGTGCCGGCATGACCCCCTACAGCCGCTTCGCCGACGGCAAGGCCGTCCTGCGCAGCAGCATTCGCGAGTTCGTCGTCAGCGAGGCCCTGAACGCTCTCAAAATTCCCACAACCAGAGCCCTAGCCATCAGCTTGCTGCCGCACAGCAAAGTCAGGCGGGAACGCATCGAGCCGGGGGCCATCGTGGTCCGCTTCGCCGAGAGCTGGCTGCGCTTCGGCACCTTCGACCTCCTCCGCGCGCGCGGCGACCGAGACCTCATCCGGCGGCTCGCGACCTACGTAGCGGAGGACGTTTTCGGTGGGTGGGAGAACCTCCCCGGGCGGCTCGACGACCCGGACAACCCGTCCGAAACCTCCACCCCGCAGCGCGGCATTCCCCGGGACACGATCCAAGGCCCACCCGGAGCCGAAGAAAACCGCTTCGCACGACTCTACCGCGAGATCGTACGGCGCAACGCGCTCACCGTCGCCAAGTGGCAAGCGTACGGCTTCATGAACGGGGTGCTCAACACGGACAACACCTCCCTCTTCGGCCTGTCCATGGACTACGGCCCGTTCGCCTTCATGGACACCTTCGACCCCCAATACACGCCCAACCACGACGACTACCTCCTCCGCTACAGCTACCGCAACCAGCCGACCATCATCTGGTGGAACCTCGTCCGACTCGGCGAAAGCCTCGGCGAGCTCCTCGGCACGGGCGCCACCGTCGACTCCGAAACCGTCATCAGCACGGGGCCCACCGAAACCACCGCCCCGCCGCTCATCGCCCTCGCCGAAAAACTCATCAACCAAGCCGGCGCCGAATACAAAGCCGTCTTCCTCGCCGAGTACAAACGCCTCTTCACACTCCGCCTCGGCCTGCAAACCCAGCACCCCACCGATTTCGACACTCTCTTCAGCCCGCTCCTCGACACGCTCGAGGCCCTCGAGCTCGATTTCTCCTTATTTTTCCGACGCCTCTCCAGCCTGCCCGTCTCAGCGCTCGGCACGCCCGCCTCGCGGCTCGAGCACGCCGCGCGCTTCTTTGACCGCGACAGCGGCGGCGGCGCGGAGGCGGGCCGGCAGCGCCTGGCGGAGTGGTTGGGGGTGTGGCGCGAGCGGGTTGTGCAGGATTGGGGCACGCTGGAGGATTGGGGGTCGAGTACCCCGGTTGGGTCGGGTGCGGGTGCGGGTGCGGGTGCGGGTGCGGGTGATGGTGATGGTGATGGTGTGGATGGAAACCGGAGCGGGAGCGGGAGCGGAAGCGGGGCTGTGTCGGACAGGGCTGATGCCGAGCGGATGGCGGCGATGAAGAGTGTGAATCCCAACTTTGTGCCGCGCGGCTGGATCTTGGACGAAGTGATTCGGCGGGTGGAGAAGGGTGGGGAGAGGGATGTGTTGAAGAGGGTTATGCATATGGCGCTGCATCCGTTCGAGGATAGCTGGGCCGGGAGGGAGTTTGATGGCGTGGTGTATGAGGGCGACAGGGAAGAGGAGGTGCGGTGGACAGGCGATGTGCCCAAAGCCGAGAGGGCGATGCAGTGTAGCTGCAGCTCATGATCCTGTAACAGCAAAGAACCGGCGTTTGGTGTAGTTATTTACACATTTCGGTACGATTGTGGCAGCCGCTCTTTCCGATGGTTCGCCGGCATTCACATGCTGTTTCATCCTCACGCGAGGCAGGAAATTAGATAATAATCATCGGTCGTTAAACGAGAGACTATGAGCGAGAAACTATCCGACTACATGGACAAGGCCAGGTAATCCATAGCGGGCCATGCATCTTCAGCGAACCATGATACTCCGTCTCCTCCTAATAGCACAAAAAAAAAAGAACAACAAGCAAAGCGTGTGGTGACATCCCGATACCATTACCGGCCCTCACGTTTCCTCCACTGGTGATGTCTGCCGAAAAGAAAGAGAAAAAAATGATTTCTCGGAGCTATATAGGGTTTGAAACGGATGCTAGAGCGGCCCCGTCTCATAGAGGTGGTGTTAGTGACTGTCCCCCTTAGATCTTGACATGACAGATTCAGCCTTCCTCCGAAACGGGTTCTGCAACCGTTTGAGATTGCAAAATCCATAACCATGATGTGTCCAAGGCACTCGAATGGGCAGTAGCCTCCCGAGCGTAGGATGTCGGGCGATTTGGAAAAATTAGGTGCTGACGAAGATGCTCGTAAAACAGAGTCTCATATGGTGTTGGAGAACTCCCGTTTAAGAAACGATTGCGAAATTCATTGTAGTGGTCCAAAAAGAGGAGTAAGCCCGGCAGCAGCCAGGCCGTGAGAGAAGAGCGGAAAGAATTCCCATCCCGAGCCGACAAGAATTGCGCCGGTTTAGCGATAGTTGTTGCCGTAGCGAGAGCTGCTAGCCATCCGTCCCGGCATTGGGCCGACGGCAGGGCCTGGGCGAGTGGCAACCGCGTGGTTTGTGCAGAGCATGCCGACCCGGGAGCCAAACTTGGAGCCACGGAGAGAGACCATGTGCTTACGGATATGGGCGGCGACAATCTCGCGGTGCTGGGGAGCCGCATGGGTCAGGATGTACTGAATCAGGTAGTTGCCGTACTGGTCGCTGGCAATGTCAATGAGCGGGATCCGGGGACGGTCGATGCGGCCCTCGCAGACGCGGTCCAGGTAGCGGCCTAGGAAATCGGGGCCGCCAATTTTCAAACACTTCTCAACGACCTTGGAGGCAAACTGGTCCATGCTGTACTCGGCAGCATAACGGATAACATGGTCGATCGCCCGGCTGCGATCCGCCGGGGCGCCGTGTTCGCAGACGTGCTGAATGCACCAGTTGCCAAACTGTCCGTGGGCCACAATATTAATGTTGGCCAGGACCTCTTCAATGCAGGGACGCTACGGGAACGTCAGTAACCATGAACACAATCTGGTACCAGTCGTCAACTTACCTTGTCCTCTTCCAGACAGTTCTCAAATATGTTCTGTACAACCAGACTGCCCGTCTCACCCAACGCAACCTCGTGCCACATGCCACGCAGGGCCTCATTGACATACTTCATAATCTGCGGCGGCGACTCGGTCCAACGCAGCTCAAACAATTTCTGCCAGACATGACAAGCGTAGCGGTGAATAACCGTTTCGGGGATCCGTCGCAGCAGCTCGTGGACCATGATCGCCTTGTAATCTTCCGGGACAGAATCGAATGCTTTCTGCACCACATGGCAGCCAAAAGGATCCATCGATAAATTGAGCGTGTTTCCACGAATGGCCTGGGCAATCTTGATGACCTGCTCAGCAGTGCCATGCTCGAAGCAGCGCTGGACCAGAAAATTGCCAAAACGATTGACCATCAGAGGGTAGGCCTGGGCAACGATGGCCTCAACAATGTCATACTTCTGCTCGGGAGTCCCAACCTTGAGCTTCTGCTGCAGGAAAATGGAAGCCTGCTGGTCATTGTTGCAGACGATTTTGTCAACGATGTACTTCCAGTCGCAAGAGACATTGCGGTCAAGCAGACGACGGTAGTTGAGGGGCTCGGTGGTAGGCGACACATAGGTTTGACCGTCCGCAGTCAAAGTCTGGCGAGCCAAGTTAGCCATAATTTATTGGCACGAGATTGATCCATCAATGCACTTACCTCGCCTTTCCACGACGAGCCGATAGACGTGAACTCGGTGGCATGAGGAGAGAGCGTAGTCCCAACCGGTTGCTGCTGGTAAGGCGAGAACGGCCCCATTCCCATACCACCGTTCATCATGGCCTGTGGGCCGGCAGAATACCCTTGGGTCATCTCGTAGGGAGCAGGGCCCATGTTGTAGTTGTTGAAACCGCTACCGAAATTGTTGGACGACCCAAATCGATTCTCATACCGGTTGCCGCGGCGCCCCGCCGGTCTCATCCCATCCTGCTCAGGAGCCATTCGGTCTTGTCGGTACATGTCTATGCCAGGTGGCGGAAAAGCTGGTTCATAGCTGGCGGCACGGTTGTTGGGCCACGGCATCTGCTGAGGTCCATCGACCCCCATCTGGCCTTGGGGATAGGAGCCGCCGAACGCGGGCTTGGTGTTATTGTTCCAGATTCCCCGAGGGCGGTTCAAACCTGTGGTTGGTAGCGGGTCGCCAATCCCCGAGGGAGTGTCGTCCTGGGCCATCCAGCTGTTCTCACGAGAAAACGGTGGCATCTTACCCGGTCCATTGAGCGCCAGGGCACCAGCGCCAATCCGAGTGGGTGGCGAGCCGGAGGACACCATACCGTAGTCGTGGTCAGAAATGAGTGCTGGGGTTACACACTCACTCTCCGGTTGAACGCGGTTCTGTGCGAGCTCTTGGTCCAGGCGCGAAATCTTGCTTTGAGCCTGGGCGAGCTCGAGTTTGAGCCGCAAGAGTTCTTCAGCCGTCTCCTGGCCCTCGATCGGGGTGGCGCTCGCAGATCCGGTTCCCGACGCGGTGGGCGCAGAAAAGACCTCGATGGCTGGAGTGAGGGGCATCGAGCTGCACGACTGGTGGTGGTCAAAACCGCGAGTATACGCGGTCCCGTCATCGGCAGTCCTTGGGGCCTCAGCCTGCTGTTGCATAATCAAATGCTGCTCAGAAAGTTTTGCGTAGAGTTTGTCCATCGGATACGAATCGGTCGGTGACAACGACTCGTGCTTGATCTTCAACTTCTATCACGATCAGTCCTATCGCTGCGTTGAGGAGGTGGGGCGCTACGTACCTTGGAGTAATTCTGATTTGCCATCTTGGAGGTCGCCAGAGTGCTTACAGATTTCTTGAGGGGGCCGGCCGCGGCGGCTTCCTGGAGGGAGCATTCGAGTCAGACAGGTTTCTCGAAAAGGTCCGATGCAGCGATACGGTGGAAGGAAAATTTGGAGTTGGGAAACGAAGAGAATGGGGCAATGCAATAAATGGTTGCGGCGAAACACCGAAGATGAGAATGAGATGCCAAAAAGGGCGAAAGGAAGGAAGGAGAGTGTGTGCACCGTGAGAAGTTGACTTCTTCATCGGACTCAGCCAAGGGGGTGGCTTCAACCTACTTTAGATTCGGTGCCCACGAGATCCTCAAACGTGTTCGAGTTCTCATCCTGCTCATCTTGCACGGGGCTTTGAGGGGCGGCCGAGAGGCAGTCATTGGACCGACCTGCCGATGGCGCGCCGATGATGGCTGTACCAGCAGACATGATGTGTCGCTTGGGGTGTTCTCTGCGCCCAGTTAAAACGCGATTATTCGGGGCCGTTTCTGCAGTAGACTTGACAAAGGTGGGGAAAATGATCAAGATGTTCAAAAGAAGTAGATTTGGAGTTTAGAGTGAAGAAGTTGAAGTAAAAGAAGTTGATGGGAAGATGGCTGAGAGAAGCGGGGAGCATAGGACTATGCAGAAAGAATCCCCAATCAAGAGTTGAGACGGAAAGGGTGGTAAGAGAAGGAAGGCGCTATCAAGAACCTCGGTGACGGAGCCGGAACACCACGGGGCCAGTCGGGTCCAAAACCTGAGGGAACAACCCAAACTCCTGGTCTCCTGATTTGCTTACCTTGGCTGGAAACACTCGCCTGAAAGGAAGCTGATCTCAACAGTGCGTCGTATTGGAAATGAGTTGAAGAAAATGGCAGACAAATGAATAGATAAGAGGTCGAGGAAGGCAGATGAAAGCTTTTTGGCACAGATAACCCGAAAAGGAAGAAGAGAGCCGGTCCAAATCAAGAAGGATGAGCTTCTTGCTCTCCTCGGGCAGTTCTGCAATTTGGGTGACTGAGAGGTCACAAGACAACACTTACCCAAATCCAAATTCTTTACGGCACCAAGCCGTCCAAAGCTGCCTAATTGGGCCATGATCGGGGCCCATGAAGGAAGGTGCCGGCCGGGTGAAGTCCGACTCGGAGCTGCCCTAGGCCATACCGGGCCGGAAGTGGGGCCGGAAGTGGGGCCGCACACCGATGCCCAGCAGGTTGCTGTTTCCCATTTGGGATATTCACCATGATGGCGCTCCATGGTACGATGGTGAGTGAACCCAGACTTGCAGGGAAGGAGGTCCCCTGACCAACCTTGCCACATGCACTGGTATACTCTGCAATGTGAACCCACGGCCTTGCCTCGGGCGCCACTGAGTACACACCTGTGTTTGTTTGCTTGTGGTTGCTGTGAAACACTCAATGCAGCCGGTCAGTCTGAAGAACATGTTTGTGTCAGTCAAGATATCGAGAGTCTTTCTCAAGAACAGTAATAAACCAACCCAATTCATCCATTGCTTCCTCGCTTCACAATCTCGTAAATAACCTTGTGAAAGCATGTCTACTGTGTTTTGTATAGTGGAAGAGCCTTGATGATCTAATCTGATAAAGACTTCACTATCGCCTGATTCAGAGGATGATGCTTGGTCTGATTGTATGAGGTCATTCGTGTTAGCAGGAGAACATAGCCCCCGATTTCCTCAAGAGAAAGCCCCACTGCGAACTGTGAAAATAAAAGAGAGAGAGAGAGATGGGAGAGTGATGTTTGGAACTGATACTGACACGCATTGCGTGTTAGTATTTGCCGAGCAGGATTCCAGACGGAGGCCATCTACACCCTTTCTCTTAGCCGCCTCCAGAAGTGCCCAATTGAAGCCATGCAACGGTGGTTTCTCCAACGGCCCTGCAATAATGCAAAAAGCTTGTAGGAGCTCTGCAACCGGGGTTGCCACGAATAACTCTGCCGGCCACGAGGTGCTCGCGAGCCCCTAGGTTCAACAAAAGGACAGTTTGTGTTGGTCAATTCGGGTATATTGCTGCCCTCCTCTATACAATAGTAGTACATCTCGTATCGTCGGTGCAGTTCATTTGCCACATTGCTTATTTCTTCTTCTTGTCTGGTCACTGTTAGCCAAACTCGAGCAACGGGATGGACTTGACGAGCTGAAACATACCCCGATCCTTCCCCTTCTTCGGTGACCCCTTCCCGCGAGCTTTGAGACTGTGGCCAGTTAGAATAGCACACTGATGTGTAATGGGACGGGATGATGTACGCTGCGACATGTTCGAGGCGGTCGAGCTCGTCGTCGTTCTCAACCTCAAGCTCGAGCGGCCTAAACTCATCCTGGAAGTCGCGGAACGCCATGACCTTGCGGGGGTAGTAGGAGGCTAGCGCGGGACCTCTTAGTCGCTGCCGCAGGATCTTGTTGCCGGTACGAATGCCCTCGGGGTTGTATGTGGTCGAGAAGAGCTGGCATTGAGCCTGATCCGGTCAGCATCCTGCCTATTTGGTAAACTCGGGATTTTGCGCATACCTTCATCAAGGCGAGCAACCGCGCGCGAGGAACCGACATTTTGCCGCTACATAGAATGGGCGGGTTGATTCGAATGCGGCTCTTAAACAGACGAGAGTTGACTTGACGTTGCGAAGATCTTGGGCAGTTTTCGTAACATCCAATCATTGTCGTTCTTATAGTGGGGCTGCCGCGAACCCTTGAAGTTGTGTGGGGGTACACACACACACACACAATTTATTCCGCCCGGCGGACCTAACCCGAAAGGGCAGCTATCATGCAATCTACTAATACATTGTGGGGGTACACACACACACACACACACACACACACAATTTATTCCGCCCGGCGGGTCTAACCCGAAAGGGCAACTATTATGCAATCTCGGTACCAATACATATTGTGGGGGTACAGTCGCTAGCGAAATCGGCTTCCGCTTTTCTCTTTCACATCTTTCTTATCACGGTCAGGATCACCGTGGTAGGGGCAAGCTGGTATATTGCGTGGTTGCACGAGGAACCGAATGTGGGAGGCGAGGCGCACTCAGGGAAAACCCTGTGGCTGCGCACAGACCAGCGCAGAGCTACGTACAGCCCACCTCGGGGTTCAGCCGTGCAACCCTAACCCTACAAGGAACGGGCTGTGCCCGTGACATTTCTGTCGCACGGACCATTTATGCATCTAACCATCCACACCGTGTGCCCTCGCACACGCTCGTGTACACGCTGTGTTACGATGATTGTAAGCCAACCGGGAACTGTTAGCCAACATGGCACAGTAGAGACCGAAATCAGTGTTTAGATTTTCAACGTTCAAAGATTGTCAGTCAGGCCAGTTTTGGAAGTGATTGTGACTCACAGTGCGTGGCAGCCCACAGTGTAGAGTGACCAGTGAGCTTCAAAGCTGGCTGCAGCTGAAATGTCGCAAGCACAAAATGCATTAACTAGCCGTTTTAGGCGCCGTTGGACGTGCGAAGTTGTATACGAATCATAAAAATATGGTTATATACATACATAACCTTAGGTGAAGCGGACAACCCGATAGATATAGTATTGTGCACTTGCAGGGTCGGTGACAATATGTCACGGTTATGGTCGCATAACCAAGCGGGACCGCGCTGGGAGCGGCATCGGCCAATCAGGGACGGATCGTGAAGAGGAATTCACCATCCCAGAGTAACCAGTCAGAACAGGATCGGTAGATAGATAAGACGATCTAGGAGCATAGGTACTAAGGTACCTAGAGGCCGAGATAGTATATAGTCACTCGTTCTGGAGAGCTCTGGGTGTTCTCCAGTTAGCAATCACAACTACAGTTCGCTACAAGCTCGAGAGCCTACTGTTGAGCCAAGTCTTTGTTGTGCACCTTTTGGCTGCACCGAACCTAAGCACCCTTGAGAGAATACCTTCAACCGAAGCTGAACCCTAACAGGACGGGTCCAGAGACAGGTTCGTCACAGAATACCTTTTAAAAAAAAAGAAAAAGGAAAACCGGTATCTAGCTTGGTCTTGCGAGTCTCCATCACCTGCACGTCCAGCTTCTCGGCCTCCTCCCACCGGCCCTGGTTCCTGTATGTCGATGCCAGGTTGGCCATGCTCGTCAGCGTGGAAGGGTGGTCGGCCCCGAGCTTGGTCTTGCTCGTCTCCATCACCTGCACGTCCAGCTTCTCGGCCTCCTCCCACCGGCCCTGGTTCCAAAATGTCGATGCCAGGTTGGCCATGCTCGTCAGCGTGGAAGGGTGGTCGGCCCCGAGCTTGGTCTTGCGAGTCTCCATCACCTGCACAAACAGCTTCTCGGCCTCCTCCCACTGGCCGCGGTCCATTTGGACCAGAGCAAATAGTGACATACTTGCAAGAGTCGCCATATTCTCTGCACCCAACTTTTTCTTGCGAACATTTCTCGCCTTGCCTAGCATCTGCTCTGCAACTTCATATCTCCCTTGCGACCATGCATACCATCCCCCGTTATGCAAAAGTGTCGCCCATATTTCGACTGTCTCTTCGCTGGGTTGGTAACCAAGGGCCACTTGAACGTGCGCGAAGAGACTCCAGCACTTCACCCAGTTCTCGTACTCCCCTGTCGGGAATGACGCTGCCATTTGCTCGATGAACTGCTGCTTGAACGTCTCCTGCTGCCGAAACGTTTCCAGCCACTTCCTCATCGACAGCTGCACGAGCCCATGCATCTCAAACTGGTCCCCCGCCTCATTCACGACGATAAGATCGTAGTCCCGTAATATTGCCACATCGTCTTCGAACCGACCGTCCATCTCGTCATCGCTGCTGTCGGATCCTGAGTCTTCTGCATCTTCGGAACCACTTGCTCGAGTTGCGGTTTTGGTCTGCTTAGAGGACTTGAGGAGCGACTCCGGAATGCCTTGTCGATCAAAGAAGCTCATAAGCGAAAGGAGATCCGCCGCAGAAGGCCGCTCGGACCGAATATGGTCAAAAGATATCTGCCATGTCGTGAGAATCGCGTTCGACGCGCCTCCATCCCGACGTAGGTCTCCAGCATCATGCTCTAAAAGCCTGCTCCTTTTGCGCTCAGACTCCTGGCACTCAGAAAGGTACTTCTCGAGAGAGCTTCGCGGTGCCCTTGCCTGTATGTAGGCGGCAGCCTGGCTGATGGCTAGCGGAATAAAGTCGAGCGCGCGTACAAGCTTGGCTGCCGCATCGGTATTCAGGATTGATCCCAGCTTCCTCTCCAGGAGCGTGAGGGCGTCCATCTGCACCATCGGTCCGACCTCGATGATGTTTTGGCGGCGTCCGGTCAGCCTGGAAGCCAGGTCCTTATTGCGTGTTGTGATGATGATCGACCCGTTTCGACTCTGTGGTAGGAAGTCTGCAAATGGTTTCCTGTTGCATACGTTGTCGCTACTGTAGAATACATTGCGGTCGTCGGCGCTGTCAAGGATTATGATCCATCTGCCGTTCCGCTCGTTGGACAGCCAGTCGTAGACAAGCTGTGGGATGTCGGCCCTGGGCTGGTTTCGGCCTGCTAGCTTGACGTCGTCGGCAATCTTTCTGAAACCCTCTTCGACACGCGCCTGCGTGCCGGCGTGGACCCAAAATACCCATCTGTCAAGATGCCCCGCGGCGATCCGGTGCGCATATTCAATGGCCAACTGCGATTTGCCGACACCGCCCAGGCCCACGAGGGCCACACGGCCGGCCAGCTCGGAACAGCGCTCGTCGATTTGATCGAGAATGTCTCCACGGTTGACGAAATCGGGGTCGCGGGAGAAGGGGATGGTCGCGAAGGGAATCGGCGGCGTTTCCCGTCTTTCTGAGATCTGAACATTAGTGGGGCATCCCATCGGCTCTGCACGGTGCCACGGTAATCTTACCCGGCGGGGGGAACTCGATCGACCCATAATTGTACCCCACCTGGAGACCATGGTGGTTGGACCCGAAAGACGCAGACATTTGTGCCATCGTTGGCGATCGAGTCGATTGATTGTCTATATACAGTTACAGTACTGTAGAACAGTCAGCTGTTGGTATGATGTTTCGCTGTCAGGGTGGTTTTGCGGCTGAACTTCTTCAGTCTCAGCTGCCCTCCAGCCACAGCCAGTGTGGCGTAGCGTAGCTAACGACTCAGACACCGACGACCACACAGCGTCAGATCACCGCCGCATATATATGGCTCCGCAAAACTACTTATATGACTCTCGGGTTGTCCTCTTTTAGCCAACGCTCTGTATATAATCACATTCTTCGTTATCCCTAAGCGCCCAGGTCGGTCATGCGTTTCCTGTTTGTTGGCGCCGAAGATGGCTAGTGGATATTGTGCCGCGATGTCTCAGCTGCGGCCATTTTCGCAGCGCGCTGGTCGCCCAACAAAGTTGGTTGCCGGCGCACCGTGTGGACCTCAGCTCCCCTGGCACTGTCCGTGCGGACAATCTTTCAACATTGAATATCTGGACACTGAATTCGGTCTCTACTGTAATCAATCTGGACTGTCAGCAAAAAGTGGCTGTGGCAAGAAACGACGGTCATTACGATGACTGCCGACAAATTTTAATGCGAATCCGACTCCATTGCAGTTTCCACCAACGTGTTAATAGATAAGAGAGGGCGCGGGTGATTCCTTGACCAAGTATCTTGGATGGCGATAGTTCCGGCTGCATCTTCTCAACTGTCGGCCCGCCCATCTAGCTGTCTGCTGTCGGCCGCAGTCCAGACGATGCGGGTACGGTCTCCGTATCAGGGTTCGTCAGTGGCCCTCTAAGGTGGGGCACACAAGATCCTAGCATCGCCGCAGGGGCCGTTGTTTTCCATCTCCAGAGCATTGGCCAATTTAGCCGCGCCATCGTGCTAATTTTGAAACTCCACACATGGGTCATGTGACCCTGTTGACGCATTCTGTCGAGGTGAGGGCCTTTACGGCACTTCGCAGGTTTTTCACAGCCATACAAGCAGCACTGAACTTTTTGCGATTGCAGTAAAGTATTCCGCAGCATGGCGCCAATTTTCCGCTCTCTCAACGTCATCGGATCCGAGACATGATCCTGAACAATTCGCTGACCAGTTTCAGATTGCCAGCGTAGTTGGCTGCGGCATGCGCTCCATCCGCACGATTCGAACCAGCCTTCGATGCTTTGGGACAAGTAAAGCGCCAGCCAACGGGGTTGGAAGGCCGAAAGAGCTGAAGACTGCCGGATGTAAGTGAGGCATAGGTGTTCACTGCGGGGGCTCGGTAGGTGTACGGCCCTTGCATGCCACCTCAAATCGTCTGAGGTGCTAGTGAGTGGCAAAGACGTACTTGTCAACATTTGCGTAAGTAGCGAAAACTAAGTAGCATAAAGGAAACGTTTCTCCCAGACCCTTCACTTGAACAAAGATATCAAAAATATATAATGCTCATTACTAAACGGAAACAATTTGGAAGAATGTCACTTGCCCAGAAGCATGCCCTAGGACCAATGTATGGTCGAACACTGATGTGCACGTTGCCCGGTAATTGGGAGGAAGCCATAGAAGATTCTTTCCACCCCTGGTGATCCATTCGCCATCGATAAAGAGAATATCGCCTCCTAGTCCTGGTTTTTAGAGGCGTCTAAGCCTGAGTTCCCAACTAACGAGAACGCTACCGCCCTGACCCAATCGCTATGCCCCTCGAGCGTCTGTTGGAGCGTGCCCGTGACCGCATCCCAGAGCCGGATGGTCTTGTCCGAACCTGACGCAAGCGTTTTGCCATCCGGTGAGAACGCTACCGCCCTAGCCGAATCGCTATGCCCCTCAAGCGTCTGTTGGAGCGTACCCCAGTGGTCATTAATACCTGCGACCGATTTGATAAACGATAGCCTCTTCTTCCATTGCTGCTTTCTGACCCCACTAAAGGTTGGACTGAAGACAAGTGCAGAACCATATATCTGTAATGGAGCCCGTTCCATAATCGCTCCATGACTGCGAATAATTTTTTCTGCATCGTTCAAGAAGTCAACAAAGTTAGGAGCTGTATCCGGCTGTAGCTAGCAATAATTAGTTACTATACAGCATTATAATGGTATTATTAACTGACCTGGGCAACGTGCAGAAGCGTTCTTATCAACAATACCCCATCAGAGAGCCTTCCCAGGAGAGCCAAAACCTCAAGCCAGTGAAGGAGATGGTTTGTCAGAAAGGCGTGGACTGGGCCGTCGTCCTCTATATTATGTTCGCTTTCCTTTAGGTGGTGGACCCAGTACTGACAGGCGTATTGAACTTCAGGCGGCAGGTGGGCGTTGATAGTCTGCTGGTCGAGCTCTGACCGCAGCATTCCCGGCACCTTTAAACAGCAGATATCTTGTCCCAGGCATTGGTCCATCAGTTGGATGCATCTTTCCGTAAGCGTCTTGTGATATTCTGCCTCGTCGATCCAAAACTCATTCTTGGTACGCTTGGCCGGGTCAACCAGGAAGTCGCGGAAGGATAGGTGAAAGAGCCTGACTGGGGCATCGTCCACTGAGGGGATATCAAGGACGGAGTGGAGAGAGTTGAGCAGCGCGCGGACGTCTTCGCATTCGGCATTTAAAAGTCGTGCTAGTGACCGTACTGAGAGCGGCTGAGCAAGGAGTACAATAGAGCCAACGACATTTCGGAACTCGGCTAGCACTTCGGCCTTGTCCTAATCGGTGCGTCCAGAGGTGAGCTAGTCGAGAACGGGGAGATATGTGGCGTCGAGTTTGTCGAGCGTGGAATTGCGAGTCGCCGTTTGGTATTCTAAGACTTTCTTAAAGAAAGTTTCTTTAGTCGTTTGGCAGGGTTCGACCTTCCCTGATCGTCCACAAAGCGACAGACGGTTGCGGCAAAAATGAACAGTGGGACAGCCATCTGAGCGAGAGTTCGAATGTCATCTTCGCCCGGCCAACCTAGTGGCACTTGTCCGTTGTAGTCATCCTTGATCCGTGTGAGTTCAGACGCCAAAAATGTGGATATGTCCTGTTCCACAACTTGCTCTGGTATCTGGTTGTCACGCATTAGGACCCGTACGGTCTTGGCTTGCAGGACGCGGGACGTCCCCTCCAATCATTCACGGAAACATAGGACCAATCATAACGCCAGAAGGGAGTGCTCCCGGCGCTCCCTTCAGGGCCTGGGAGCACGGGGAGCGTCCACACTCCCAATGCTCCCCGGGAGCACAGGGAGCACTGGGATCAACAACTCAGATAGCAGTATATAGCCACTCGCTCTGGAGAGCTCTGGGAGTTCTCCAGTTAGCAATCACAACTACAGTTCGCTACAAGCTCGGAAGCCTACTGTTGAGACAAGTCTGTTGTGCACCTTTTGGCTGCACCGAACCTAAGCACTCTTGAGAGATTACCTTCAACCGAAGCTGAACCCTAACAGGACAGGGTCCTGAAGTAGGTTCGTCACACTGGTGTAGAGCTAGGCCTTGGTATTTTCCCTGGACATCCTTAAAACCGAGGCGAATAGGCAGCTCAGGCCTACTGGTGATGAAAAATCCTCAAACGCACGGAGCGTACGACGCTTGCTTGTGCGAGCAGCGAGATGATAGTCTTGACGTCCTTGTCTCCATCACATTCGTCGAGAGCGTCAATAATGACCACGATTGCCGTGGTGCGCTGAATGCGGCCAAGCGGATGGAGGATGAGCTTTTCGAACTGGTCCCTCAGTGCTCTCTTGGGAATGTCCGGGTCGGCATCGATAGCCTCTCTGACGGAAGGCACCAGGGCAGGGATTTTTTGCACAAGCTGACGAGCAATGGTAGGGAAAAGCCAAGCCAGCGTTGCCACGGTCGCCCTCTCCCCGTTTGAAGAAAAAGCTCGCGCCAAGTAGGCCGTCTTTCGCGAACGAGGTGGCCACGGTCCGGGAGATGGTGGATTTTCCCGTTCCTGCCATGCCGTTCAGCTAGAATATGTTCTCGGCTTGAGGAGCGTTTGCCCACTCCCGGATCTGGCCAAGGAGCTTGGTCCGGGTGTCGGGGTGGCAACGTGCGTTGTGCTCCTCTGCGTGCGAGTCGGAGGCCGCGCCGCTTGCGACCGGGAGCGCTGTTAGGTCGATCTTAGAGTGGATATCGAGGATTTCGGTGCTGGAAATTACTGTTAGCTATGTATTAACCAAGGTATGAGGTTTGCGCATACGTTTGATCAATCTGAAGGGCGGCAGAAAAGGAGTCTTGGTCTCGCTAAAGGTTTGTAATAATCTTGTCCATGTCCTTGCTCTCGAACGGCCACCCGAAGGCTCGCAGCCCTACACGCCTCATCATTTTTGCCCTATGGCCCTTACGCAACTTCTCTTCCAGCTTCGTAGCGACATCACCAAGCTACGAGCAGGTATTGCTAAGGGCTTCGCGCAGCTTTTGCGAGGTCTCGAGCCGAGCTCCATATGGACCCTAGAGGAGCTCTTGTACGCCTTCAGCGGTTGTCTTTAAGGTATCGGTATGTTTTCGCAGGCGCTTGATGTCGGACCTGGCGCTTTTAACGGCGGACGAGTACTTGAGACAGAGAGAGCCGACCTTGGCGGTCAGCTCAACGACGGCGATGGCGCTTGCGGCGGCACACGGTGTGGTTGGTTAGATGCATAAACGGTCCGTGCGCCAGAAAGATGTGTGAAAGCAAAGCGGAAGCCGGTTTCGCTAGTGACTGTAACAGGACTTGGCAACAAACTCCAAGAGCCAAAGCCAATCTCTCATTTTGATGAATCAACGAATGAGAATCACAAACCAGGATGACATAACCTGTACAGACTGGTTTTCAATTTACTAGGTAGCCACACATCATCTACTATTTCCCAAAATATCGTAAGTCTGGTCCGTCTCATAAGGTGCACATTTCATATGGTTGATCTGATGGTGAACCTCAAATAGTTAGTTCTCTGATGCTGCAGAACATTGCCAAGAAGGTGGATCATCCATCTACGCTTGATCTTGATTTCTTCATTCTCATCTTCTAGCTTCACTCGCCACCAACCGCCCACCCCACCCCTCAATATGCCAAAGCGAACCCACAGCGAGTCGGCAACCCCGTTGGCGCCCACAATAATACCAACGACTACCCCCGAACACGTCTCAAAACGCATCAAACCCTCCGCCGCCGTCACCCCATCACCCCAAATCCCCCCCTGGACCATCTTCACAAAATGGACCTCCTCCGCCATCGTCAAAGCCCACCCGCCCCTGCCACCGGTCCTCGACAGCGCGCTCGAAACGGCAGCGCTCACGCACTCGGGGATGCGCAAGAACCTGTCGGACCCGAGCTACGAGCAGCTGGAGTGGATCGGCGACGTGTACCTGGAGCTGATCGCGTCGGAGCTCATCTCGCAAACCTTCCCCACGCTAGACCCGGGCCGCTCGTCGCACTACCGCGAGATGCTGGTGCGGAATAGTACCCTGGGCCAGTTCGCGGTGCACTACGGCCTGGACAAGCGCGCCAACTTCCCCGCCGAGTTCGGCCTCGGGGGCCGCCCCAACGGCACCAAGGCGAGCGAGAAGCAGCGCGCCAAAGCGCTGGGCGATATTTTTGAGGCTTATGTCGGTGCCATTGTGCGGTCGGACCCGGAGAATGGGATGCGCCGCGCCGCTGAGTGGTTGAAGATGCTGTGGGGCCCCGTGCTGGAGAGGCAGATTCGTGAAGAGGAGAGCGGGTCGCGGGTGAAGGATCGGGATCTTAATCCGAAGACGCAGCTGGAGCAGATGATCGGGGGTCCTGGCGTGAGGATCGAGTATAAGGACTTGCCATCTGGGGGGAAGAAGGACAGAGACACGAACCAGGAGTTGTTCTTTGTGGGGTGTTTCTTGACGGGCTGGGGGGAGACGTCCTTGCAACTAGGGTATGGCGGTGCGCTTGGGAAAAAGGAGGCGGGCCAGAAGGCTGCGGTCAAGGCGATGGAGAATGCGAAGTTGATGAAGAAGTTTAGTGAAAAAAGGAAGGCCCTCGTGGCTGCTAGGGCGGCGCAAGCTGAAAAGGCGTCATAGAACCAGCACCAAGGAGGTATGTACTTATACGCAGGGAATTGTATTTATTTAATGACGACATCAAGCCGGCTTGCCTCTAACGCCCATGGTGCACACCCAGCATCCCAATGGAATGCTTATCACTTCCTCGAACTATGAAACTGTTGCCAACATGCCAGATAGAAGTATAGTTTTAAGTTTTGTAAATATCAGCACCACTAAAGACACCTCTTGGAGGCATATCTTCGATTGAGATATGACCGTTTGGTTTCCATATAAGGAAAAGCTGGGCTTTTACAGGGAAGATGTGGGTTCTTTTGGTTGGACTTCCTTCGGCTAAGATACTGCCATACTCAAATAGCAGATGGATAGGTAACTCAACCATTTGGGGACGGTTAGTGTTGTTAGGTAAGTTGGGACTGGTATATCAATGCCCAACGTTCTGCTAACTTCTAGAAACCTTCATGATCGTCAGAACTTCCGTGGTGTCACTTCAAAACCACGCCATAATGTGTTAATTTCCTGCAATTCATGCGCTACACTTGGCTTCGTGAATGAATTGGACCTCGGGAACTGCGAGAGCCACCAGGAATTTAGCCATGTATAAGTCTATTTGTGTCCCGAGCTTGTGGATATTGTGCCATAAATCCCTCTTCATGTGTTTATTTCTCGATTACATCGAAAAGTATTTCAACCTCTTGTTTTGAGAATCGTCTTGTTCCCACGTATGAGGGGAGTCCATTCAATATCATCGCATTTTCACGTGTCGAAACCGCGCTTCGTCCGCGCTTCTTGCTGTAATTAAAAGCGGGCCTCGCCCCAGACTCGGGTTCGCGTTCCAGCGGAAGATTGGGGAAGTGGACCCCATCAAGTCGCGCTGCCGAGGCAAAAGCCGTTTTGGCAGCGGAACGGGTGGCCTCAGCCTGTGGGGTGTGATCGTTACATCACCTGCAGACGAAAACGCGACGAACCGTTCCTCGGCCGAGATGAACCCATAAGAGTGGAGGTGGTTGTTGTGTTGTTGTCTGGCAATTGACCAGTTTTCTAGTTTCTAAAAGTTTGGAATATCTCGGCATGTTTTGCTCGCTCCAGAACCCCCTAATCACGACAATCCCATACCAGCCGACGACGAGTTGCCTCCCTGAACAGTGAATCCAATTGCCCCTCTACATGCAGGAGCTCGAGCACGTAGCTGCACCGAAATTACCGAAACACAACCACGACAGGACACAACTACCATTTTCCAACCACTCGTTTTCGAGCTTGCAGCCGTATCGGTCCGGGAACCGAGTCTAAGGCACAATGTCAGATTCAATTGGTGAGTACAAGTCTCCTCCTTGAAGGACTTCATATGGAGCAAGGCTTCCTGCACATCAGGCTGACACCACCCGCCATTTGTCTGCGTCACATAGACCGAGTATTCGTCCATGCCCTTAACACCGTCAAAAAGATCCCGAAGACCGGGGCCGCCCGGCCGCCGCCATCCGACCGCATGCGTCTCTATGGCCTCTACAAACAGGCTATGGAAGGCGACGTCGATGGCGTCATGGAGCGGCCCTCGGCCACCGGCACAGGGAGCAGCAGCGAAGAAGTAGTCCGGGAACAAGACAAATGGGACGCGTGGAATTCACAGAAGGGCATTGCTCGAACCGAAGCGAAGCGCCGCTATGTCGAAGCGCTGATCGAAACCATGCACAAATACGCCAGCACGCCCAACGGCCTGGAATTGGTGGCCGAGCTGGAGTTTGTGTGGAATCAAGTCAAAAGCAACAGTCCGAGTGCGGCGGGGTCTTCGTCGGAACAGAGTGGCGGAGGGATCATCCCGAGTCCCGTGGTCCGCCGGTTCCAATCGCCGGCGAGTGGGAGCGAGGGACCAATGAAGGTGCTCAGTCCTATGAGCGAAGAGGATGAGTCGGAGCGGCGAATGGCCGAGCTGGCCGACCAAGCGGAGGACGATCCCGGCGAGTACGCTCGGCGACACGACAAGCGGTCTAAGCGGATGGAGCGGGCCATCGTCAGGTTGTCGGCGGAGATTGCGGCGTTGCGAGAACAGATCGCCACGGGCCGCGAGTGGAGATCTCGCAGGGAAAAGGGCGTCTTCGCGTGGGTGGGGTGGATTTTCTGGGCCGTCACGAAACATATCACCGTCGACCTCGCCCTCCTGCTTCTGCTGCTCCTATGGATGCGGAAGAGGAAGGACAGGCGGTTCGAAGACAACGTGCGAGCTATCTTCAGGCTTGCGCGAGAGTACGTCAGGAAGATTCTGCCGGCTCGGTGAGGTATCACAGCCGAGCCAAGTGTTGGTCCGCAGGTTCTGTGGCCCCTGCCCCAGCCTGTCCAGCACCTAATATTTCCGCCACCGCGCGGTTCTTGCCGAGGAATCGCAAAGTCGAGTCTCAGAGTTGCCAAGCTTTGGCCGAGGTTGCCCGAAACCGTTCATGAGGCCAACAAGCGCGGCTATGATGAAAAGTTAGCTGGCAGCTCGTGGATTCCGGATACCATCCACTCTTGACTGGCTGGAGCGTTACCAATTCTCTGCGTCCAGCTTGGATTCATCAACACAAAACCCGGTTTAATGGGCCTCGCATCAACTCATGCGTGCCTTGACTGCAACTTTAACCCTCAAGTTAAAACGGGAGGCATTGCCCGCTTCGCCAAACTCACGCGGCACATGTGCCACACTACCGCCACATATGGGGACAATATTCACACGCCGAGACCGAGCATCCAGCCCCAGCCATCTCACCGCCGGATGAACCGAACTCAACGAGGACAAGCCCGGAAAGCATCCATGTTACATTTTTCGAGCGAGTCAGCGTAGTTGGGTCTAGGGTTGCGAGAAAGAAACGCCGTGGCAAGCATCATCTTAGCCTAGAGCGTCGGAACCACAGGGGCTCCTCTACCATCGAGGGCCGAGTGGTTATCTTGAGAGGCTGCGAGCCATGACTAAATCGTCACATCTCGGGCAGTCATTGCGTGCCAAACGCAACCCAACGCCACATAGGCCCGGAGCCTAATAGCAAAAATCTAATGTCCTCAAATCGTCAGGCATAATGATCCACAGAACCTAGACAAGTACTCTTATTTAATACGTAGTTTTGATGAAAGATATCACATGAAGCCAGACACTCGCATGCCTTAGCCATTTTTGTTGTTCAAAGTCAGCACTAAAGATCCTCACAAATCCTCCATGTGCTGAAAAAGGATGCAAGATTTGGGGCTCACGTTTGTCAGCGACGAGCCACTGCGTGTCATCAGCACGAAGCGGGGCGGCCATCCTCTGCGATGGTATGGGATACTGCCTATATTTTAGGGGCCTATCTCTTGACCTTAAACCTCCTTTCCCATCGCAAATTGAGCGTTTCCTCTAAGCCAGACATTATACATTTGATCCGCGACCATGAGCGTCACCCACATCGTCCTCTTCAAATTCAAGGATGACGTCGAACCAGAAGCCGTCAAGGATGTGCGTGCCGTCCTCCAATCGCAAGTCCATGGGTCATGCTTGATAATGAGCGTGCACTCCGTATACACAGCTCTAACGTCGCGGATGTTTAGGCCTGTCTCAAGATCCCATCGTTGAGGGATGCTTGTGTTCACCCCACGACTAAAAAGCCCTACATTCTCTCTGTGAAATCGGGAAAGGACAATTCACCAGAAGGTCTACAGGTACGCCGAAACGCCCGCGGGATAAATCAGTCTATTTGTTTCTCCCTGCATTGGTTAACTGACGGCTTTTAGGGCGGACTGACCCACGGGTTCGTCGTTGAGTTTGCGTCGGCCGAGGACAGAGACTATTACGTGAAAACGGATCCGGGTCACCAGGAGTTCATCAAGAGCTTTTCGAGCGTGCTTGAGAAGATTACTGTTTTAGACTTCAGTGATGGCGTTTACTAGCTAGGTATCTAAGTAGAAGTGAGCAGAAAGAAGCAAGTGAATCCTCCGCACTCTAAAATTCATGTGTACATGTATGTGCATGTACATACCAGCTTGAGCCCTTCTCTTAATCCGTAAGATGTAATTACGGTAAGGTAATTTAGCAATCGAAGTCCAGCTGCAGCAAGGTATCGCCGATTATTATCCTGAACAACGAAGCTGTCCGTTGTGTACCTCGTTTGCAAGTTACTTGCCCCCTAGCAGGTAACCGTATCTTCGGGCATTTGATATTTGATCTGGCACATTTTTTTTAGAACCTGGCTTGTTTGCCCATAACCTCCAAGCACACATAACCACAATCCATCACGACCCCGCGAAATTCCAGTTATGCCACAACCGGCACAATCTCCAGCAGGCACAGGGCCAAATGCTTCAGGGAAGATACCAGTGCTCAACAACATCGCTCCTAGCATCTTTGTGCCGCTCCAAGATGACCTGCTCACGCAAGAACCGCCACGCGATCGAGTTGAGCGCCTAAAGAGGATTCTCCAGACCATCGACTACCAGAGGGAGGGCGTCAAGGAAAACCTCCTCTATATGTTCGAACGGGAGAAAACGCGGATAGTCATGGAAGCTGCCGAGATCGAAAAAGCACAACCGCCGCCCAGTATCAAGCCGGGACTGGCCCTCAGCGAGATTGACGACATTATCGCTAACATGGAGGCGCCAGCCCAGCCTGGCAGGGACTACAATGTCCGGGACGTGCCCCTGCCGGTCCCCATGATGGTACCTCCCAACGCGTCACTCCGGGATAAAACGGTGATACAATTGCTCAATGTGGTCGAGCAGGGTTTGGGAGAACTGGAAGGGTTTGAAAAACACATGGCGGGGATCAAGGACCGCTACCTCGTTTGTCTCGAGCAGGAAATGGCGAGGATCGATGACGCGGGGAAGCGTCCGGAGGAGCGATCGGGTGCCAAAAGGTTTTAAGTCATGGATCAACAGGCTACGGTTTCCCCCATGTAATTATACACCCCCCGACCGATGCCGTCGAATGTCGTTCACAGGGTGTCGTCAAGGTACTAGCGAAGGTCGCAGGGTGTCTCTTGGTGGAAGAGAGCCTGATACTTCGTAGAAATGTGGCAACCGGCGGTAAGAGGCGTTGCTCAGCGAACCTGAAGAGCTCTCACATGCTTCCATAATCGGAGCCAAAATATCAATCTAGGAGCACATGATAGAGGAAGACTCGGGTGGAAGCGCAATCCAGCACGAATGTGCCAAATCGCCGACAAAATCTCCCTACAATAAGTGCCCAGAAGTACAATGGAGAGAGAAAAAGTTCAAATTCGAAAGAGCTGCGAAATGTGGGGGTCTTTAAAAAGATGCGAGCTTACAAACTGCGAGCCGTGGTTGGCTGGCTAAGCGGGCCGCTAGCTTCATGTTCTTCCGGGCGTCCCTCACCAAGCACTCCGCCAGGAAACGTCCAGCCCAGTTGCTTGGACAGAAGAAGCTCACGACTTTGCGGCCACCACCGCTTGGAGACAGCCACCCCGCCTCCCACCCCCCCGAATCTCCGCTCCATATCCTCCGTCGAGACGGCACCATGTTGAGGCAGACATTGGCTCGCTCGGCTTGGCGGACTGGCAAGCACCCGGCCAGCGCGGCCAGCCGGGCCTTTTCAGCGACAGCTCAGAGACCGGCCGAGGTTGAGCTCACAATTGGTGCGCCCCCCGCTCCGACCTGCCTGCCCTTGTCAATTAGCCTACTGAATTGGCGCTGACTGCTTGTAGATGGGAAGAAGGTTTCGATCGAGGGTGAGGGGATACTGTGGTCTCGAATTGATCGCCCAGGATTGCTAATCGAGATACAGCCGGGTCCGCCCTGATCCAAGCTTGCGAAAAGGCCGGCGTCACAATTCCAAGGTACGCACGCCTAGGTACCTTCGTTGTACATAGCTTGAGGCTCACGCTGACTATCACAGATACTGCTACCATGAGTAGGTCACGCGAACACCCAGCGACGATCGCCCCCCGCCTCCCCGCTAACGAAATGCCTCGTCAGGAAACTCATGATTGCCGGCAACTGCCGTATGTGTCTAGTCGAAGTTGAGCGGGCACCCAAACCCGTGGCGTCGTGCGCATGGCCCGTACAACCCGGCATGGTCGTCAAGACCAACTCTCCTTTGACACATAAGGCCCGGGAAGGTGTGATGGAATTCTTGCTGGCCAACCACCCCCTCGACTGCCCCATCTGCGACCAGGGCGGCGAGTGCGATCTTCAGGACCAGTCGATGCGGTATGGCGCCGACCGTGGCCGGTTCCACGAGATTGGTGGAAAGCGTGCGGTGGAGGACAAGAATATCGGACCCCTCGTCAAGACATCTATGAACCGGTGTATCCACTGCACGCGGTGCATTCGGTTCGCCAACGACATCGCTGGGGCTCCGGAAATGGGTTCGACAGGCCGTGGAAACGACATCCAGATCGGCACCTACCTCGAGAAGAACCTTGACACGGAACTCTCTGGCAACGTTATCGACCTCTGCCCCGTCGGCGCCTTGACCTCGAAGCCCTACGCCTTCCGCGCCCGTCCCTGGGAATTGAAGCGCACCGAGTCTATCGACGTGATGGACGGTCTTGGCTCGAACATCCGCGTGGACTCGCGCGGGCTGGAGGTCATGCGCATTATTCCGAGGCTCAACGACGACGTCAACGAGGAATGGATAGACGACAAGACCCGGTTCGCCTGCGACGGCCTCAAGACCCAGAGACTCACCATGCCCTTGGTGCGCAGGGAGGGGAAATTTGAACCCGCGACATGGGAGCAGGCACTCACCGAGGTCTCCCACGCGTATCAGACACTTGCGCCCAAGGAGAACGAGTTCAAGGTTATCGCCGGTCCGCTCACTGAAGTCGAATCCCTTGTGGCCATGAAGGATCTTGCGAACAAGCTGGGCTCTGACAACCTTGCTCTTGATATGGAGAATGGTAGCCAGCCAGTCGCCCACGGTGTCGATGTGCGGTCGAACTACCTTTTCAACTCCAAGATCTGGGGCATCGAGTCGGCCGACTGCATCCTCCTCGTCGGTACCAACCCAAGACACGAGGCTGCCGTTCTGAACGCCCGTATCCGAAAGCAATGGCTGCGGTCAGACCTCGAAATCGGCGTCGTCGGCCAGACCTGGGAGTCCACCTTCGAGTTCGAGAACCTCGGCACTGACCTGAACGCCCTCAAGGACGCCCTGGCTGGTCCTTTCGGCCAGAAGCTCCAGGCTGCCAAGAGGCCCATGATTGTTGTGGGCTCTGGCGTCACCGAGCACCCCGACGCTAAGGCCTTCTATGAGGTGGTTGGCCAGTTCGTCGACAAGAACGCCGCCAACTTCCTCACCGAGGAATGGAACGGTTACAACGTCCTGCAGCGCGCCGCGTCGCGGGCTGGTGCATTCGAGGTCGGCTTCGTAACGCCCTCCGCCGCCGTCGCCGAGACTAAGCCTAAGTTCGTCTGGCTCCTTGGCGCTGATGAGTTCAACGAGGCGGATGTCCCCAAGGACGCGTTCATCGTTTACCAAGGCCATCACGGTGACCGGGGCGCGCAGATCGCCGACATCGTCCTCCCGGGCGCTGCCTACACCGAGAAGGCCGGCACGTACATCAACACCGAGGGCCGCGTGCAGATGACGCGCGCCGCCACTGGCCTGCCCGGCGCCGCCCGCACGGACTGGAAGATCATTCGTGCCGTCAGCGAGTTCCTCGGCGCGCCGCTCCCCTACGACGACGTCGCCCAGCTCAGGGACCGCATGGTCGAGATCAGCCCGGCGCTTGCCGCATACGACGTCGTTGAGCCCGTCGCGCTGGGGCAGCTGAGCAAGGTGCAACTGGTGGACCACAACAAGGGTGCTAAGGTTACGGGGTCGCCGCTACGCAAGGTCGTCGAGAACTTCTACTTTACCGATGTCATCTCGAGGAGGTTAGTCCCCCCTACATCACATACATGTATCCTATCACAATTAGAAACTAACATTGAGTGCCTAGCTCCCCCACAATGGCTCGTTGCTCAGCAGCCAAGGAGACAGGCGACCCGCGGACAAACTTCATGGCGCCTGGCATGGAGGAGGATAGGCCGATGGGCCAGATCGCGTATGGGGCGTAGAGAAAATTCGAGAAGTGGGAAGGGAAGGGAAGGCCGGCCGTTGTTTTTGTTGTAAGAAGGGCAATAGAAACTACCTGTCCATAAGTTCTATGCGCCTTCTTTCGTGTCTCGGTGCCCTCGCGTTCCCTTGGTCGGCTGTTTCCCTGTTGTTGTTTTCTGTGGGGTTGGTGGTATGTACATAGCGGGAGAGGGGGGAGGAAGTGAATAAGACCTTGAGCTCCATGTCTGCAATGCAAGACTAGTAGAGTGGATATTTGAGATGAGGGTATTATTTTATTATGAGGCCTACTCCGCTAATCAGGCCGCCAGCTGTTACACGGCTCTGTTAGCTAAATTTTTATATTTTGATACGATTCCCCCCATGCCACTATGGCAGGAGAATCTTGTTCCAGTCCTCTTGATGAAGAGACAAAAGCTTAGACAGAGCAACAATGAGTCCTCCTCTTAGCAGCAAATGCATTTATTTTCCTTCTCCTCTCTTCTTCCCTCTCTCTTCCCTTTCTCTCTTCCATTCCTTCCCCATTTTTTCCACCTTGCCTCCGATAGTTTTGGATCAGAGATAGAAAGCATGCCTCTTTTGTGATCGGTGTCGTGTGTAGCAAGAGGCCAAAAGCAAAAGGCATGTAGCGTGGTGGCTATTCCTGGATGCAAAATCCCAGTGGGACTGTCATGATTTGTCGCTAGGCCAGGGGAGGGAACTCCTTGTCCACCACATCGCCAAACACGCTGTCCTGTCCCACCGTATCGGACGGGACGGCTTTCTCCCAGGGCTTGCGGGGTGCTTTCATCTTGCCGAAAGGGGTGACGCCCTGGTTTCGTCGAGTTAGCTATTTGGTCTCCTTCATAGATCAAAACTGAACTTCACGATGAGATAGCGTGGGGTTTGTTTGACGGTGAAACTTACCGGCGGTCGCACAACGGTATCCGGAATCTCCTTGATCCCAGGAATCGGCTTGCCTGTCGTAACAGCCTCAATTAGAGCTTGGAAGTTCTCGGGATACGGCGCTCCATCGCCCGTGTTGCTATGGTTGGCACCATCGTCGGCCTTCTTGCTGAGGTCGACCTTGGGAGCATTCAGCTGCCAAGCAGGGATATTCTGGCCGGAAGAGGGGGCTGGGCCAGGAGCAGCGCCGTTCATGCGTTGCTGGATTTCCTCGAGCTTGGTGAGAATGACACCGTCTGGGCAGGATTGCTGGTGGAAAGCGCTGTAGGACTCGTACAGCGTACGGTCGATGTCGGTGTTGAAACGGGACCTGTACCACCAGATGCGAGCTTGGAGGGTGGTACTCAAGGCCTTTTGACGAGTGAAGCCATCAGTAGTGTTGTTGATGAGCGAGGGGCCCAAGGTTGCCATGAGGCCTTGCTGGTCGGTTGTTAGTGGGGTTGCGGGCGATGAGACAAGCCGACCGAGGCATGAATGGCGACTTACAAGGAACGAGCGGTCCCTTGCCCATGGGTAGGAATCGAATTGCTGGAAGGCGGCCTCGCTGTCGCCTCTTTGAGCTGGGGCAGCGCCCGGGATTTGGTCTGTGTTTGCCTCCATTTAGAGATACTACTGGTAAGAATGCATCCGAGGTTGGAGTGAGCTGTCGGCCAGGACGCTGCTGTTCGGGATGACCTGAGACTGAGAGTGGGGTTCGTGGGGTGGTGGGGGGTTAGTTATCGATTTTGACTGAGTGGAATAAGTATGCTGTGAGTGTCGGATACCAAAGTAGTACTCGATAGAGTTTTGTTTGATAAGAAATGTGGGAACATTCTCCAACTCTGAGTTCGACAGTATTTTCGGTGATATTCTGGCGAGGTTGTTTCTCTCCCCAGAGTCTTGCATGTGAGTGTGGGTGCTGGCACAGTGCAAAAGGTGTATTAGGATACAGTGCCTTGGCGCGGGTTTCCCACTTTGAATCCAGTGCAAGGCATCCCCCTGTCACTCAATAACAGTTCTCTCGGAGTCTGGCAACCTCACACATCAGGTACGAGTGACGCGCGTGACACGGTCAGAGGTTGAGAATGCGAACGATCCGTGTCAAATATACGCAGGTAGGTAGGTAATTTCTAACAATCAGGAGGGCCTTATAAGGTAGGTCTAGAATACCGCCGCTTCAATAGCCTTGACAGTGCCAAAGCTTCAGCTTGTTGAAATCCTTAGTTCATTGCGGCGAACACACCAGTGCCTTCTTCGTGGAGAGATCATGAACCCCCCTCATTGCTGGATATGCAAATCTAGGAGAAAATTTGGTTAGGTATTGTAGCCCTAGAAGCGAGTGGTCTCGGAATCACTGACGGTCGGGGTTTAGGTCTGTTGCTTAGAAGCAGACGCCGGTTCCATCATGAGCGATGGAGCACATGCTAGAGCAGCATTCGGTGTATCGGTTGGTGCAGTCGTCGCCCGTGGCGATGCAACGCTTTTCCAGGCCCTCGGCCGCATTGCTAGCCGGAGCGGGCATCGCGAGGCCAAGGACGGCGTTGCCGAGAAGCAGGAGAACGGTGGCTGAGAACTGCATGATGGTATTTGGCTACCTTAATTTGAAGAGAGGCTACTGGTACGTATAGAAGAAGGATGTTGCGATTCTTGCTGAAGATGTTGCGATCAATCTACAGACCCAGACGAGGGAAGTCCAGATATTTATACCCTAACGGAACTTCGAATGATTCGACGGCAGGGACTAGGTTTACATGACCGTTCATGTCCTGTCGACGTCGTTCGAGCCGAATATGCCTCGCTGATTCGGATTTGAGTCGTTGATCAACAGCTTCGCCCCCTTTGTATCGTTCCACGACGCGCTGTGATATCTGCTTGGCCTGATCGCACTTGAACTATATTCAATCGGATCCTCCTCTTCGTTGTGATTCGGTTCCTCACGAAATGCGTGGCAGATGCCCCTGCGGTAGGAAAAGATCGACAAACCAGGATTCTCCGACGGTGAGCTTACGGCATGGAAACCGAGCTCGAGAATCACGGTAACTCCCAGGTATAGTAGTTCGGGAGTCCTCTGGTTAATAGAAAGACATATCACATGGGGTCGCCCCCTCCCGGAAGCCCCAATCCTGCTTCCATTGGGGTCAACGGAGCCTTGAACAACACGGAACTAACATGCCCTTGTCGTTATCGGAATTTGAAGTCAGCCTTACCAATTTATGATCGACCAATGCACCATGGAGCCTCGTACCGTTCTCTCCCGCCTTCCAAACCTCTTGCTATGGACGTGAAGGTTTCCCCCACTCTGTCGGCATGATGGATGTTTCAACGTCGGAGGGGGCCGAGATTGAATCAAAAAGTCTATCTAGGTTCCGTATTATGTTATATCTTGTGATCAATATGTGAGCTAGAATCACCAAGTATGACGCTTGAAATAGGTATTTGGGCAAGTTGAAGACAAGAGGACGTTGGAGGTATGGATCTATTATAAGCAGAGGGTTAGGGTTTGATCACAAGCAACAGAAACACCGTGTGAGCATCGACTAGGCGCACTGACGCGGACCTTCAACCCCGAGTCCCAAACTCGCCTGAATCCAGTTCATCTCGATTCGGAGACTCGACGTATTTCCTGTCATCTCAGCAATGCGTCGCGCCGCCATCCAAGCCTTTCGTGCCAGCCTCCAATGCAGCGTTCGGGGCTTCCGCTCTAACACCCGCCGGGGCTTTTCTCCGCTGCTCCCATCGAACGCAAACAGGAGGAGCCTCGCCGCGGCTGCCTCGACCCGCCGATTCCTCTCGACATCCCCACACGGCCGCGACCGCAACAGTAACAACCGTCCTCAGACGGCCAAGAATGCACCGATAGCCAGCGAACCGCTCCGCTCATCAATGTATTTCCGAACCTCTGTGGCGCTGGTCTCGGCGCTGGTGGGCTACGGCGCTTACTACTCGTACGGCAGCAACGGGACGGACAGCCTCGTGAAGCGGGCGTACTCGTCGAGCAGCACGTCGACCGTGACTGGCGACGCGGCCACGCAGACCCGCTCGATTTTGGTGATTAGCGCCGACGAGCTACACACGGGCACGTTCGTAGGGGACGGGCCCATCTCCAAGACGACTGGCAACGACGGCAAGAGAGTCATCGAGATGGTGACCCCCGACCAAGCGACCGAGATGCTCCGGAAGAGCGAGCTGTCGTACTATGTTGAACGCGGCCAGGGCGTGGTGCGCTACGATTTGGTACAACTACCGAGCAACGACCCGATCGAGGATGATCATGCCGAGAGGATCGTGGAGATGCCGGACAGCAGCGAACCGCATGGGAGTAGCGACTGGATGTTCTGGGGTGTTTTTGATGGGCACTCGTGAGATATGATGGTTTCTGTTCTGGGTGATCGGCGGTGCTAATTACTATTCCTACAGTGGATGGACGACTTCAGCGAAGCTCCGCCAGGTGCTGACCACCGTGGTGGCCCGGGAACTCAACGACACGTACAAGGCATCCAGCTTGGCGCCGCCGCCGGAGGCAATCGACGCCGCTATCAAGCGAGGCTTCCTGAAGCTGGATGACGACATCGTCAACAAAAGCGCGCAGAAGGTCCTGCAAGGAAACAACAAAACTGCCGCTGCTGAACTCTTGGCCCCCGCCCTGTCTGGCTCCTGCGCGCTCCTCTCGTTCTACGACAGCCGGTCAAAGCTGCTACGGGTTGCTTGCACGGGCGATTCGCGGGCTGTTCTCGGTCGCCGGTCAGCGTCTGGCAAGTGGACCGCCACGCCGCTCTCGGTCGACCAGACGGGCAGCAACCCCGATGAAGCGGCCCGGTTGCAGAAGCTACACCCGAACGAACCCCATGTCGTCCGCAACGGTCGTGTCCTCGGAGGCTTGGAACCCACACGTGCCTTTGGAGACGCTAGCTACAAGTGGTCCCGCGAGACCTCTGAGCAGCTGAGGCAGCGGTTTTTTGCGCGTTCCGTCTCATCCTTCCTCAAAACACCCCCCTACGTGACCGCCGAGCCAGTCGTCACCACCACCAAGATCGAGCCAGAAAAGGGCGATTTTGTCGTGATGGCTACCGATGGTCTCTGGGAGATGCTCACCAACGAGGAGGTCATTGGCCTCGTCGGCAAGTGGCTCGAGAGCCAGCAAGTCACCAAGAACCACCCTACCTCGCAGTTCGACTCGGTCTGGACGCGCATCTTTGGCTCGCGCGGCGCCAAGGATGGGCTGCCTGTTGAAGTAGCCCAGGACGCTGGTGGTGGTGGGCAGAAGACCCCCTTCCGCAGACAACAGTGGGGTGATTCGGCGGACGGCTTTGTGGTGCAAGACTCCAACGTGGCTACCCACCTGGTGCGGAACGCACTCGGCGGTAAGAACCAGGAGCAGGTGTCGGCACTGCTGACGCTACCTGCACCCTTCTCAAGACGCTACAGGGATGATTTGACCGTGCAGGTCATCTTCTTCGGAAATGGCGAGCGGACGGGCGAGGTCGTCGTGAATCAGGATGCGACTGCAGCGGCGAACAAGCCTGTGAAGGCGAAGTTGTAGGTGTCTGATTGTTAGTATACTATATTCTCCATTGAGCACGGGTTGGTCGTCCTGGGCGCTAGGTTACCGGTTGGGCGCAATGGTTGATATCCCAGGGCACGATTGAAGATGGATGGGTAGTTGTCGTTCTGTCATGGTGTTCTTTCCGGCCATATTATCTCGCGATGAAGAGATAGATTTGCATCTCATCATTTCCTGGCTGCGTACCGGATATATTAGGTATTCATACATATGTCGTCGTTACCTGCTTTGATCCTCAACGTTTCAAGACTTCGGTCCTTCGTCCTGCGCCCACATCGCGTACGGCGCGGGCTTGCAACCCCCACCTGTTGGTTCGCCTCCTGGAAGCCTGGAATGGAACCTCCGTTATCTTGAGAAAATACGTGGGGGTTCACTGCATTCCCTTGCTACCAATAGGACATCAATTGTAACATCAATATCTGATGCAGGAGGTTCTTAGGCCTCAACAAGCTTCCGAGCGCTGCAAGTCACCTCTTTGAGCCTGTTCTCGATTGGATGGAGCTCGATCGACAGGGCAGCATCTCCCTGCAGCGAACCGCCAAGCACGGCGCCCTGGTTCTAGACGACGGCGGGGCTTGTGTTGGCGGCGCATCTTGACGTCACAAGTCCGGATGTCAGCGCCGCTGGGGGCCTGCAATTGGGCTCCGACCAACACACCAATTCGACCCCTCCACAGCCCACTTCCGCCGTGCCGTCCATTCTCCCACGTCTTCCATGCCGGCATTTGTTTGGCCCGATCGATGTTTCACAATCCCAAGACCAACACGTTATTTTATTATTTCAACTCGATTTTTTTTTTTTGCTGAACTGGTTCGCTTCCCTCATTCCGTCCTGTCGAGAGTCGGCCATTGGATCCTTCGAGAGAGGTGCTTACTGAGCTCCCTGCTCTAGGTTGTGGGTTGTTGGACTTTTAGAGAAAAAGACCGAGAGGAGGAAGAGAGACAGCTCTTGCGTCAATTCCGTTTTTTATTCGACATTCCGCTGCCGTCTCAAGGATTCGGTATCCCGCGAGCCCACCATGCCCGTTTTCGATAGCCACGAGTACCTCACCGAGGAGGAGCGGAGGCTTAAGGAGGATCGCGAACGTACCAAGTACTGGAAAAAATGGGGTTCCTACGTCGCCGAGAGGCAGTGGGCGACGGGTGAGTTTCTATTGCCCGCGAGATTGAAGCTGGTTTGACTGACGAGGCCAATGTAGTGCGAGAGGACTACAGCGAGGACGGCGATGCTTGGAGTCGTAAGTTGGTCATGGCTATGTCCACCACCGGAATTGATAAACTTACAGAGGCCACCAGACTTCACCCACGACCACGCACGCTCGCGCGCATACAGATGGGGTGAGGATGGCATTGCTGGTGTTTGCGATACCCATGGTTACCAAAACATCGCCTTCGCTTTCTGGAACGAGAAAGAGTAAGGCATATTGCTCTCTACGGATACACCATGGCCAACTAATGATTACCGTCAGCCCCTTCCTCAAGGAACGGTTATTCGGGTTGTCCAACCCCCAGGGAAACCACGGCGAGAGCATCAAGGAGGCCCACTTCCATCTGGACAACACACCTGTAAGCTTGTTGCGGCCTGCTACATATCGTGCCTCCTGCTAACCTTGTTTTATTGCAGACGGTAAGACAGATCGCAGGCCCTACCGAGATAACCGAAAGCTTATACGTCACAGCATTCATATATGAAGTACCTGTACAAATACCCGCAAAAAGCCTTCCCCTACGAGGATCTTCTCAAGGAGAATGCGAAGCGAGGTAAGGAGGACAAGGAGTATCAAATCCTCGACACTGGCGTCTTTGACGAGGACCGCTATTGGGACATCTTCATCGAGACCGCCAAGGAAGATGACAACCCGGATGAGCTCCTTTTCCGCGTCACTGCCTGGAACAGAGGCCCCGACCGTGCCCCGCTTCACATTGTCCCCCATGTGTGGTTCCGCAACACTTGGTCTTGGGGCCGCGAGGCTGCGGACAAGCGGCCATCAATGGGTGTCCATGACGAGAACTTGATCAAGTCAAAGCACCACCATCTAGGAGACCGCTATGTCCTTCTGTCTCCGTCCCCCGGCGTCGGCTCTAGCGGAGAGGATGTCCAGCCGGAATTAATATTTACCGAGAACGAGACCAACTACGAACTCCTTTACGAAGGGAAGAACGAGTCACAATACGTCAAGGATGGCTTTCACCGTCATATCGTTGATCGTGAGAAGGGTGTCATAAACCCGGATCAGGTTGGAACTAAGGCAGCTGCGTGGTTCACTTTCAACGAAGACGGCGGCGTTAACCCCGGCGAGTGCGCAGGTATGTACTGTCGCCGCTGGTGTGGCCCTGACCATCACTAATTGGAAACAGTTGTTCGTTTCCGGTTTTCCAAAAGAGCTGAGACATATCTCGATGAAGAGGAGTTTGACGAGATTATCGAGAGGAAACGAGAGGAAGCCGACGACTTCTACTATCACATCAGCCCCTTGCCCATGGCTGACGACCTCCGCAATATCCAAAGACAGGCTTTTGCCGGCATGATGTGGTGCAAGCAACACTATCTCTTCATCTGGGACGAGTGGGCGACCGGCGACCCCAGTCAGCCACCGCCACCACCGGGTCGAAAGGGGCTACGGAACTCTGCCTGGAAGCACTTGCACTGCGATGACATCTTATCGATGCCGGACTCCTGGGAATACCCCTTTTTTGCCGCCTGGGATACCAGTTTCCACTGCATCACTTTAGCCATGATGGATCCCGAGTTCGCTAAGAAACAACTCGATCTCTTCACTCGCGAATGGTACTGCCATCCCAATGGACAGCTTCCTGCGTAAGTAGCCTGTCGAGGGTCATGAAAATCTGGGGACGATCAATGACTGACCTTTCGTAGATATGAGTGGAACTTTGGCGACGTTAACCCTCCCGTTCACGCCTGGGCGACCTTTCGCGTCTTCAAGATCGAGCGCAAGCTCTACGGAAGACAGGACCTCGACTTCCTGGAGAGGGTGTTCCAAAAACTGCTCCTCAATTTTACCTGGTGGGTAAACCGGAAAGACGTCGAGGGCAAAAACGTGTTCGAGGGCGGTTTCCTCGGACTGGACAACATTGGCTTGTTCAACCGCTCAGAACCATTGCCAACCGGTGGCACATTAGAGCAGGCTGACAGCACTGGCTGGATGGCTTTCTACTGCCTCAACATGCTCAACATTGCGCTTGAGCTCGCCAAGCACCGGCGGATTTACGAAGACATTGCTACCAAGTTCTTCGAGCACTTTATCCTCATTAGCGATGCAATGACTTTCAGGATGGGTCAGAAGGACGAGCAGTCGCTTTGGAACGAGCAAGATGGGTTCTACTACGATGCTATCTCGTGGGGCGGCCCCTGGATTCAGCAGATGCCCGTCCGATCGCTAGTCGGCCTGATTCCGCTTTATGCAACCCTCACTCTGGAGCCGGAACTGATTAACAAGCTCCCGACCTTTAAGAAGCGGGTCGAGTGGTTCATCAACAACCGCAACGATGTGGCGGAACGAACAATGCATAGCATCCGTACCCGTGGCAAGGGCGACAGGATTCTTCTGTCGCTGGTGAGCAAGGACCGGCTTACCAAGATCCTTGAACGCATGCTGGATGAGGACGAGTTTTTCAGCCCTCATGGTATCCGCTCCTTGTCAAAGTACCACAAAGAGCACCCGTATTCCATGGAGGTCAACGGGCAGGTCTTCAAGGTAGGCTACGTCCCCGGCGACTCGGACAGCGGCCTTTTCGGCGGCAACAGCAACTGGCGAGGACCGATTTGGCTGTGTGTCAACTTCCTTTTGGTCGAGTCGCTGCAGCGCTTTTACCTCTACTTTGGGCAAAACCTTCAAGTTGAGTGCCCTGTGGGCTCGGGCGACTACATGCATCTTGGGCACGTTTCAGAGGAGATCCAGCATCGGCTGCAGCATCTCTTTGCCCGCGACAACGACGGTCGCCGTAGCATCAACGCCGGCAACGACACGCTCGACTTCGACCCCAACTGGAAGGACTACCTCTGGTTCTACGAGTTCTTCGATGGCGATAGCGGCCGTGGCCTGGGCGCAACCCACCAGTGCGGCTGGACCGGCCTCATCGCGCGCATGATTCATGACACTGGGTAAGGCCCCCCTCTCACGACTCTCTTGGTAACCATGTGACACTAACAACCACCGTTCCCCCAGCGTAAACTGCCGCCTCCCGCAGACCCCACGCACCCCGCGCGCCGGCATGTCGCACTACTTCGACGACGTGCTCCACCGCGGCAACGGCACGCAGACGCCCAACGCGCTGCTCTCGCCCGCCGCCCCGCGCCTGCGCCGCAGCTCCACAAACCGCTCGCTCGCCGCCCGCAGCGACTACAGCGACGCCACCAACGGGTACGAGGATGAAGAAGGCGGCGGCCCCGGCGCCCAGACCCCCGGCGCCCGCAGCGCCAGGCGCGGCTCCGTCAACCCGGCCCTCCTAGCCGACCCGGAGAGGGTCAAGGCCCGCGCCGAGGCCGATGCTCACCTGCATTCGTATATCAGCCAGCAGCTGGAGCGGGTGCAGCTGGAGAGGGGGGATAAGTATGAGAATTTGGAGGGGGATGAGTTTGTGGCGAAGGCTTCGTAGTTTGTGTGGTGCTGTTGGTTGGTGATTGAATAAGGGTTTTTGGGATGTCGTTTTGGGGGGAACTTAGTGGATGTAATAGAGGTAGATTTGAGATTGGATATACAAGGGTTTTTGGATAAGTTGTGCAGCTTGGGACTGATATAAGTGGGAGATGTTTACCGTTAGTTAGGTACCTTTCAGGGTGTGCTTTGAGTTGAGGGAAAAGGCAAGCTAGGCAAAACCGCCTCCGCTATTGCTAAGGCTTGTTTCCGAGGTGGATATCATCAAGCGTCAGTGGTTTAGTGGTAAAATCCATCGTTGCCATCGATGGGCCCCGCGTTCGATTCGCGGCTGACGCAGGATAAATACCTTCTCTTTTGCAATTTTTTGGTGTTCTGTGTGTGTCTTTAGTTAGTTTGTCTTTTTGGTTTTGTTGGTTTGGAGGATGTTGCAGAACGGCCCTTGTTGTGCTGTTTATTTTGATGGTTTTAATAGGCGAATTGTCTTGCTTCGCACTCTTGGATCATGTCCCATTCGATTTCAAGAGAATGGTTCCATAATATGAAAGCAGGTGTTCTCGGCGTGGTTTTAAGGAGGCAACGATTTCTGTTTTGTTGGAAACTGTTGGTATGAGGATCAAGTTATACGTGGATGACTTCGGATGAACTATGCGCTTTTAAACCTTGGGGATTAAAACAGACTCCCTGAGAACAGAAAGCGCAGGGGGTTGTACACGAATTCAGTCGACCACAACTCAATAAGCAAAGCCGCATGAGACGGCCCAACCTGTTCCTTTACCGAAATCGATCTCGGTGCGTGAGAAGGCTACTAGCAATGAGAGAACGGCGGGCCCAGCAACGATGCATACAGCAAGGCCCCCAGGTGAAGACAAATCAGCGAAACGGCGTCTATTCGGCTCATGTACACAGGGATCCTTTTGGATTCGACCGCGAGCCTGCTTTATGGTTCGGCCCCCCTCATCTCTCTGACCACCCCTCGCACGCCCAGCTCCCAGCTCAACGAGTTTCCATTGCTACAAAAGGAGAAGTAAATTTACAGGGTGTCGGTGAGCAGCTTGTTCATCTTGGCAAGCTTGGAAGAGACGCTGAGGTCAATTGTCCTGTCGCCAACCTCGACGACGAGGCCACCGACGATATCGGGGTTAACCTAGGCGGAATTAGTACTGGGCATCCGGAGCAAGGGCCTGGAGGCAAACGCACCGTGTTCTTGACCTTGAGCTTCTTGCCAGCACCGACGTAGCTCGACTTGGAGACAGCGGCCTCAAGGCGAGAGAGCGTCCGGTTGTCCAGGGGCTATTTGTTTCCCAGTTCGTTAGCGACACATTCCCTCCATGACATCCCCCAATTCACCCATCCCTGAAAATCCGTACCTGGGCGCTAGTGACAACCATCTCAACCTCACCACGGGCGGCGCTCATGAGCTCGCTGAACTTGGTGCAGACACCAGGGAGAAGGGCCAGGCGGTTGTTCTCGGCGAGGGTGGCGAGGAAGTTCTTGACGGTCTCGCCGGAGGCGCCGGCGTTCTTCTGCAGCTCGGCGACGACAGCGCTCTTGTCGGCGGCGGAGAGCGTCGGGGCCTGGAGGATAGTCACGAGCTTCGCATCCTTCTGAATGACATTGCCGAGAGCGGCGAGGCCCTTGGCGGTGGGCTCGAGGGAGGAGGTCTTGACGGCGGCCGTGTACTATTTAAAAGGCAAAATGACGCAGGTTAGTTGTGTCTGTTTCTTGTTACCTTGTCCACGGCCGACAAGCAATTGAGCGCCTGCAATAACCCCTCCAACAGTGGATCCTCCACACAATGTCCAAAACGTAATGCCAATTGGGTGGTCGGGAGCGTGCGTACCAGAGCAGTGGCATAGGTGCCGTCGAGGCCGAAAAGGGCGACCGGAGGTTGCACTCTCTCGCTGGCGGCCGGGGCGGCGAAGGCGCGGGTCTGGCCGAGGAAAGCACGCTGGGGAGCTACCGTCCGCGCGGAGCGCAGCAATGCCTGTCGCGAGAACATGGTGACTGGGGGGGATTGGGTGCGATGATGGACCTCGAATGTCGTGAAGCGAGCTCCCTCCAGTGTTTTCAGAGATGGGGTCCGTTTGGCTGCTCGGCAATTTCGTTGTGGCCTCAGGCAGCCGACAGCTTTACGGGTGGGACCGGGCAACCTGCGCGGCCTGAATGGCATGGAACAAGCAGAGAGGCTTGGCATCGGACGAACTGAACTTTGGTGGGGTCCACTTTGTTTTCGCAACTTAAACGGCAAAAAGAGAGAGAGCATCCCGTCAACTCAACAGTACTTCACTATCTCTTCACAGTAATCTCTACAGGAAGCTCGCTTTCCCAGAGACTCCATGGACCCGCATCACATGCAATCCCCCAAACCGAAACCCCCAATTACCATGGGCCTGCATGCTTTGCCATCCAAACCCAGATCCTAACCCTGGTTCTGCCGCCAAGCCCAACCAAACGCCGCCATGTACAGAAACCCAACAATCCGCCGAGTGTCTCGAAAGAAAAAAGAATGTGCGGTTTAGTCGCTACGCAGCATGCTGTCCACCAGATCGCCCAATGGGCCCCAATAGTCCTTCCCGCTGGCGAGGTTGTGCTCGTCGATGAAGAGCACATACTGCTTGAAGCTGGTGTTGAGGTGTGGCTCGAGACCTAGCTCGCGGATAACGGGGTAGTGGTGGCAGTAGATGTGGGCATAGACGCGGTACATGCGCTTGAAAATCTGGCGCACTAGGGCCGGAAATGACTTGGGGAACGGTACACCTGTTCTTGGTCAGTCCTACCCGGTGTGGTTTTCGGGCTTCCATGGCTTACCGATACGACTGGGAAGAACCGCCTCGTTGTCAATATTGCCTTGAACCCATGACATTAACTGCTCGATGTACGCCGGCGCGGGCATCTTGGTCGGCCGCTTGTAGTTCTCCGAGTCCTGCCACAGATATTCAAATCTAACATGTCAGCTTTGCGATCCGCACCCCGATTGTCTCAAACCTACTCGTCCGTGGCCTTCATCTCCGGGCACGATTGGGGAGAGCAGAACTCGGTGATGGCGCCATAGAGGAGATTGATCTGGTTGTAGAAATCCACCACTAGCAATGGTCAGTATGCGTGTTTCGTGCGCTCGGTTGCTGGGGGGTACGGCATACTGTTGACGGCCAACCACTCGTTCTCGTCCTCGCCCTCGGGGAGCTTCACCACCTTGCGCAGGCTCCCTCCGCCCAGTGTGGCCTCCGCATACTGGCGAAGCTGGTAGCTCGTAGCTCCACCTTTACCGGGCACTCGGGGTCGGAACTGGTTCTTCGTCCGGTTGTTGCTAAAGAAAAGCCCAAGTTAGCAAATCAGTCATTCCATGTCGCATCGCATTGGACTCGGCGCCAGTCTCGTAGTGGGTTGGGCTGGCAACGCCTGAACCAAAAGCGACTGCGCTGGGTGTGCTGGGGATTGGGGAAGGATACAATCGCTGGGTTGCCATTGTGCGTCTGCTCGCGACAACAAAAATGTACTCACACAGTCGTAAGAAAGGAGCTCATGGCGAGATCCCGGGGTCTGGGCCCACGAAAAGATGTTCCTGAACTGAGGCCACCAGAGCAAGACAACGGGTTAGCGGGGCAGTCCCCTGATGACGCAGTTTGCTGGAGCAACTCCACAGGCGGATGGAGTCAGGCTTCAGGGGATGCGCACCGATATAAGCTGAAGCTGGCGAATATCGGACTGCGAAAGACGCAGTATCGGCCAAGATGCTCTTTCGCGGACGATGATGCTGCTCGAGTTGGTAAAAGAGTCGAAAGTCAACAGGGCATAAGTCAAATGTGGCACGGGAGGGAGATCTGTGTTTACTTCCAATTACAGATTACAGGATTGCCGTCCCGCTCTGGCAACAGCCGCAAAGCCACTGATTGCTTGATTTACGGCGCGACAGGGGCGGTGCTTAGCGCCATGTTATAGCGGGGTCGCGGCGTCAATTCGCGCCAAATTGTTTAGGTTATTTTGTGTTTCCGCCTCCCCTCCTCTCCTCTTCACAATTCCTCTTTCATGGTCTCGCCCTTTGAGCATCATTCCATCTCTTCGGTTGGCAAGTTGCGGGACACGTGGTTTTTTGGTGAATAATGCGATTCATACCATCCTTTAGTTGTCCGGTTTCTCAACACTTCAAAGTATGGACATACAGTTCTCGTTCACTTATTTGAGACCACTCCATATATGGATGCCCCAGGTTCCACCTTGGAGTTGTCCCGATATTATGGAACCCAGTTACCCAGTGCTAACCTAAGGAATCATCCATCGACCCTCTGATGACGGCTAAAAAGGTTGAAGAATGGATTACACACCCCGTGGCTGTCAATGAGTATGGTATGTACATACAAAATGCTAGCCTTGAGGGATCATCAGAGCTTAACTATGGAATGTTTAAATACTACTTCGCACAGAACGACACAGTACATTTCCTACCCCTTTTCGTTTCTTAAACCGTGCCCTAGTGGGACCGGGAACGATCTCCCTTACGTACAGAAACCCTTGCATACTAGCATCACAAAACATATGGCTCTCGAGTTCACAACATTGCCGGCTTCATTGTGCGTCGCTGTCGGGTCATTACCACCCGAGTGTTGACTCGATCTATCCTAGCAAACCCCGCAGACACGGCATTCGGGGGAGAAGATCATACCCTGCAATGGCTAATCGCCATCCTTGGCCTCATTTGGGACGTCAACAACCCCTCCCTACCAGACTCACGGGTCACCGGAATACACCACTCATGGGTGTTTGGGGAATACGGTACCCGGCTAGAGCCTAGAAGGGTGGGAAATGAGCATGGGGGGTAGTCGAGGATGAGGTGATGGCCGATATATTTGTCGTCCGTCCCAGCGCACAACTCGTGAGGCTAGAGTTGGCTCATAGAAGGGATACATGATTACACTGAATAACAATGCGTGCTCTGTCTCTTCTCCTCGTACTATCCTCCGTCGCGGAGGCGGTATCTACCGGCCAACGCCGAAAGATTGTTCAGTCGTTTAATGTACGCCGAACCAAGAGCTCTGATTCCACCCCCTTGCAGGTTGGAAATGGCAACTTTGCCTTTGGTGCGGATGTCACCGGGTTGCAGACCTTCAAGCCATATGCCATCATGTCAACATGGGGCTGGCACAATTTCAGCCTCCCTACGACGCCTGGCCAGACTTCCGTGGATGGTGCGCAATTCGTGCTTTTAAATGCCAACCGATTCACTAACAGCCTCCAGACTACACCGGCTTGGAGATGTGGACGCACGGCAGACTTGTCCCGTATGAAGTACCAAACCCGGCTCAGAACGATATTTCAAACTGGCTCAGGGAGAACCCTCATCGGCTTAACCTAGCCAGGGTTGGGCTTGACTTCGACAAGAAAGATGTCATAGAGGACGACCTACGGCATAAGTCACAGGAACTGGATATGTGGACTGGGAGGTTGTCATCATCCTTTGTTTATGACGGATCTCCTGTGAGGATCGAGACGTGGGCCGATCCGGATTCAGATACCGTCGCAGTCAAGGTCGACTCGAAGCTGTTAAGAAGGGGCCTTGGTGTCTTCTTCGACTTCCCGTACCCTGACAACGAGAAGTTCAACGCCCCCTTTGTCGGTCACTTCAACCTCAGTTCCAAACATTCCACTACCTTGGATAAACTGTCTTCCAACTCCGCCAGAATAACACATACCCTAGATGCGACAACCTACTACACCCATCTCTCATGGACCGGCCACGGAAACATCCACGGTCCCACCACCGGAACCCACCGCTACACCTTCACCTCACCCCAAACCAACACCGCCCAACTCACCATCACCTTCTCCCCCACACCCCACCCTCTCCCAACCACCTACCCCCTCATCACCACCGCCTCCCGCCGCTGGTGGCACACCTTCTGGACCCACGGCGCCTTCATCGACCTCACCTCCGTCCACGACCCGCGCGCCCACCAGCTCCAAAAACGCATCATCCTCTCCCAGTACCTCACCACCATCAACTCGGCCTCCTCCTATCCCCCACAAGAATCCGGCTTCGTCAACAACGGCTGGCACGGCAAATTCCACCTGGAAATGACCCTCTGGCACACCCTGCCCTTCGCCCGCTGGAACCACCCTGACCTGCTGCGCCGCAGCCAGCCCGCCACCTACGAGCGGCTGCTCCCCGCGGCCGTGGCGCGCGCGCGCGCACAGGGGTATACCGGTGGAGCACGCTGGGGGAAAATGACGGATCCCCAGACGGGCCGCAGCGCGCCGGGGGATATCAATGCGTTGTTGATCTGGCAGCAGCCGCATCCGTTGCACTTTGCCGAGGTGGAGTGGCGGGCGAGTGGGAAGGGGAGTGTGGCGGAGGTGGAGGTGCTGGAGCGTTGGGATAGGATTGTCACGGCCACGGCGGATTTTATGGCCGCGTATGCGTGGTGGAATGCCTCGACGGGGGTGTTTGATCTTGGTCCGCCGATGTATCCTGTGTCGGAGAACACGGATCCGAACGTGACGCGCAACGCGGCGTTTGAGTTGGCGTATTGGCGGTTTGGACTGGATGTGGCGGTGCGGTGGAAGGAGAGGATGGGCCGGCCGGTGCCGCGGGAGTGGGTGACGGTGAGGGATGGGCTGGCGCCGCTGCCGATGGTGGACGGGACGTACGCTGTGTATGAGGGAATCGAGGGGATGTGGACGTCGAATGAGACGACGAATGATCACCCGGCCATGGCGGGGATTTATGGACTGCTGCCGCCTCCGGCGAGTGGGAAGCCCCTTGATATGGATGCGTTGAGAAAGACGGCGCGGAAGATCAAGGAGTTGTGGGCGCTGGACTTTTCGTATGGTTGGGACTTTTCTATGCTGGCTATGAACTCGCTGCGGCTAGGGGATCCGGAGCAGGCGGTTGAGTATCTACTACATCCGATCTTCGAGTTTGATGATGCTGGGTACCCGGTAGGGGGATCAAGGGTACCGACACCGTATTTCCCGAATTCGGCCTCGTTGCTCGTTGCGACGGCTATGATGGCTGGGGGGTGGGATGGTAATGAAGGAAAGACGGGGCACTGGCCTAAGTCGTGGGAGGAATATGTGCGGGTAGAGGGATTTCTGCCCGCGTTATAAGGGGTCAGGGGTTCGTCATCTTGCTAGACAGGTTCCCGGTGGATGTAATAAGGCATGCCAGTTTTGAAACTGATAACTTGAGGACTACATCTGTCCTATTTGTCTGTCTTGTGTTGGTGACTTAGATGTTAGCATCGATGCCCCTGGTGAAATGCTATGACGATAAGCGGTGATCCAACAAACTCCTGGCCCAGAAGCTCAAGAAGTCGTAATTTCCATCCTTCGTCACTATGATTTAGGCGCTCGCTTTTTTGAGGCCTCGTGGCTCTCGGCCATGGAGTGGATGGAGGGCATTTCACAATATTCTGCCTCCAAACCACTGTTCTCTCCCCATCGTGTCGACTCGCCCACCGTTAAAGCAGGACCTCGCCCAGGTTTTCCCCTTCGAACCCCTCCTTAGCGAGCATCTTCACCTTCGTCTTCTCCTTAATCTTGTCCTGCTGCTTCCTCTGCTTGGCCAGGCTCTGGACAAGCTCAACGTCGGCCAAATCGTACCCCGGGGGCGCGTCGTCCTCCTTGTCGAGGTCGATCTCGCCTAGCAGCAGCACGTTTTCTCCGCGCACCAAAAACAGGCCCCGGTCGACGTCTGCGTATAGACCCCGTACCTGGTCAGGTGCTGTTCCGGGAGGGACAAATATTCTCTCCTTGGTTGACTGCAATACCAAGTTTGCTGAACCAAGCAGGTTAATTCATACTCTCTATCAAGGTCACACTCTCCGTGGCATGGCGGTTCATACCAAACTGATCCCAGCTGCGCAGGATTCCCACAAGTTTGCGTCCATCGCGCAGCGCCAACATCAGCTTTTCTGCTCGGCGTCAGTGTGCGTTGCGTTGCGTAGGCTAGGTCAGGCCAGGTTAAGCTGCGTTGGGTGGAAATGCTTACTGTCGGTAAGGTCTAGAAGTTGGGCGGCAGTCGTAAACATCTGCGCAGGCAGTTGCTGGGGCGGCGGCGGGGGGCGCCCTAGAGCGGGTGGCATCCCCCCGGGGCCGCCATGCTGTTGTTGCATGGGAGGAGGGGGAGGGTCGGAAATGGTGAGGTTCTCCATTTTGTTACCGCGTCATGAGTTGGGTTTATATCTCAGTGCGGTATTTCTCAGTCCATCGGCGTCCAATAAAATTTAATGAGCTGCTCCAACTTGTGGTGTTCTTTTGGAAGCTGTTTTTAGATGTGCATTGCGTTGTTGAAGCTAAAATATGGAGCTCCTTCCGTGATAAGTTGTGAGTCTCGATCCCAACAGCGCATGCAAGCGCCAGCCCACCTGAAAGTTGACCCCACTGTGGGACGTTCTTCGTTGTGGCAGAGCCCTGGGCGATCGGCCTCCCTGCATTGGTCGGATTAACCACAGGCCGCTTGCTACTTTCATCCCCCGGCATGTGGACCTCAGCCACACCCGGGCGACCTACGTAAGAGCAGCCACAGCACAGCACAGTGTTTCCGGCGATGGCACTGGCTAGAGCCGGTTGTCGGCAGCTGTCTCAATCGAATGGTACCCGCCATTTGACGGATTGTCTGCGTTTATTGTTCCCAGCAGCCTTCTACTCACCTGGTGCTTTGACACGCACAATCGCCTTCTACGAAGTACTTAGAGAGCGCCTTTATGGCAGAAGATGTCTGAACGCCTCCTTCACACCACGATTTCCCATTATTATTTTTGATCCCATCACAAATCCGCTACTGTTTCGCCAACAGTCGCCCGCCGCATCATTCGCTGCCTCAGTTTTACACGATTGACCCTCGTGCCCTAGGCACTCGACCAGAATCCCTCCATACCAAGTTGACCACACAATGGCAACGACAGAAGCCGCCATGGCTGATTCTCCCGCCTACCATCCCGACCGCCGCGTCAACGGCTCGCCTCCACCCGCTCAGTCAAAGCGAGACAAGCGCCGCCAAATGCTTGCCGACCGTCTCGCCTCGCTCTCCGACAAGTTCGGCAAGGACAAGGACCAGGCGTTCCGCGAGCAGCTTCACAAGATTCAAATTGATACCACATTGGTCATGAAGGTTGATCCCTATGTGGATCGACCCCTTGACAACTTTGAGCAAGACCAGCAAAGACTGCAACAGCTCAACGGAGACGCCGACGGCCAGTCGGGGTCACAGACTCTACTGGATAGAGCCGGGCCGAGATTCGCTCAATGGATGGAAAAGGTCCAAGATTTAGTCGAACAACGGGACTACGCTCTCACAAAGTACAAGGTGTGTATATTCTTGGGCTCCTCGCCTTCCCCTCTTACCGACAGACGACTGACTGGACCTGTTCACAGTTTGACTACGAGAAGAAGACTTCGGAATTCCTCACAGCCCACGCCTTTAAGACAGAAACAGCAAACCGAGAATACAAAGCTCTCTCACAAACGCTCCGCGACCGTTTAATCAACGTTATCATGAGCAAAAAATCCCGATTGAACAGGGAAAAGGAGGCTCTGGAGATCTCAGATGCATCGGCGCTCCTGCTCCACCCCAATCAGTTCAGCATCACCAACCCCGCGAGCCCAGGAGGCGCCCATGGCAAGCGAGCGACACGACAACGCCGAGAATTGGAAGATATGACCTTTGAAAACAAAAAGAGGAAGCGGTTAAACAACAACGACGACGATGGGTCGCCGGTACCACAGCGCCGGGCGCTGGATGCTTCGGGCACCACGCCGCTCTGGCAAACAGATCGGCTAGCCTCGCGGAAACCCACGGGGACAGTGTACAGCATCGACAAGCTCTTTACCGACAAGGAACTCGGCATGACCTCTAGCGCGGCGACCCTGGCGGCCCGGAAATACATCCTCACCCACAAGCCTAAGCTCGACGACCAGGGCCGTCCAATCAAGTCGCCCGATGGCAGCGATTCCGGGACCGGCGACAACGACGAGGACGGGTCGGACTCAATTCCTTCCGCACCCATGATGGAGCGGAATGTGTCGCATGCTACACGCAGCGGCCGGGGAGGGGCCAACAACCCCAACTTCACCGATGACAAGCTCATGGGTATGGAGATGCTCGCCAATTTCGACTTCCAGGGTAACTTCGACCGCATGCTTGCAGCGGACCCGAAACTACCGCCAACCTTCCCGTCAACATACATCAAGGGCAACAAGATGGAGTACAATGTGCCCACGGTCCTCAATGCCGAGGATGCGCACAGTGACATAATGGTGATGCAAGCGCTGAAACAGTACGACGAGACACACGGCGTGGGCTCCAACTTCTCAGTGGAGAATGGTAGCCGCAAGCTGCTGGAGGCCGCGTCGATGCCGGCACAGGATGCACGGTTCGTCGCATACCTGCAAGGGGAAAGGCCGTCAGAAAACCAGGTCAGGCAACAGCTAGGGCTTCCCCTCTTGTCGGATGTCGTCGAGCCTGTCATGTCGGAAAGAGCTGGGACTCCTAAGCTGGGTCATGGGAGCACGCCGAACCCGTCTCCTGCGAAGGGGTCGGCGCTCGGAGGCGTTTCGATGAGCAGGCAGTCGAGCGCTAATGGCGTGCCGATGAGCCGGACCAGCAGTCGAAAAGGCGGCCGAGGTGGGCGGGGTGGCTGATGACACATTACGGGAAAGCAGGGAGGCGGTAGCTGGGCCACCACGGATAACGTTATGCATGTTGAAATTGGGCGTTTTGGGGAGCACGGCTTGCTGGCTCGCGGTTTGGTATTCATTTGCGGGTTGGTGTAACCACGGATACAGGGATGGATGGTGTTGGGCCGGATCTTGCACACCAGCAAAGGGTATTTGTACTTGGCTATCACAGTTTTGCTTTTATACCCGACTTCTCCAAGTCTCAATTATTATTATTATTTCCTACACCGATATGCCCTGGGGCGCGCCGGTCCTTCTACTGCTATTTACAAAGGAAACCGTACCGTATAGGCCGGATAAAAACCTCTGTCTACCACTTTGAGTCAACAATCTATGAATCCGTCATACTGCAAAAGAAAGGAGGCCCTTTGCCGGCCTCCGGGCCCTCTAGCCCTCCCCATCCACTGTTTCTAGCTCCAGCCTTCTGGCCAGTCTATACTCCAGTAGCCGGCCAGAGTCCATCAGCCAGCCAAGGACCTTCCTAACAAATCTTCTGCTCCGGGCACCTACTCCCCGTAATACGGTTTGTAGGTCCCGATGTGACCGAATCTCTCTGCCGTCCCACGGCCTTTGTAACGGCGGGTCGGGGCACCAAACCACCAAGTGCTCCACTGTCTCCCTGCCCCTCCCGCACTCGCAATAGGGGGTGCGGACCCCCGGGACTTTCACCCTGAACAGGTAGTCCCGGAGGCCTATATCCCCGATACGGGCCTGGGAGAGGAGGGAGCTCTGCGCCTTTGTGAGACCTTCGTGTCTCATCAGAGCTTTGTCGGTAAATAAGAGGGCTGGGGGGTCTTCGTCGGCTATCCTCCTGTTTAATACCCTCTGTCGAGTAGTACTTTGTTGACTAGCTCTCTGTTGTTCCCACCGGGCCTGCCAGGCTAGTTCGACCACCTCCTTGGTATTCGACCCCCTATCCTTCCCCCCGATCTTCCATTTGTAGTTAACCCACTGGGCCACTACACTAGCGGCTAGTTCAGTGGGCGTGGGACTCTGCGGGCCCTGACGGGGCCTCCGGCCTCGGGTTTTCCTCCTCTTGTTGAACCTTCGGTAGACCTTATTGCAGGCCTCAGTAATTAGATGCCCCGTGGTTATTCTCTCAGCCTCCGGCCCAGCCCCTGACTGTAGGGCCTGCTTCTGTAGCCGGCCCTCGAAGTCGGCCAGCCGCTTGTTGAGATATAGGTCTAGCGGTGGCACCCAGGCCTCTGTTTCTAAGCACCGAATAGGAGCTGACTTGTATGCCCCTACTACTATTCGAAGGCTCCTGTTCTGAGCTTTTGACAAGACCTTTGCAGGCCCCTTCGGCCCTGTAGCTCTTGGAGCTGTTGGTTGGTGTCCAAGTCTCAATTAATTCTCCTTTGCTCGCTTCTACAAACTCGCTATCAATAACACGTCATGAACCCCCCATATCCAACACAATACAATCTACGGCCCAAAAACCAACGCCCGCACCTCAATACTCTCCCTCCCCTCCGCCCCAACCCTCGTCCTCGGATCCTCAAACGCACTATGCGGCACCCTGCCCCCCTTCACCCCACTCCCCTCCTTCAGCGCCTCACTATCAAAGCACTCTAGCAAAATCCGCTCATCCCCCGTCATGCCACTCAGATAATACCACTCCTGGCCCGCATCGTAGCGAATCGCCGCCGTCTGGCCCACGTAGCCGCCCGCGCTCGCCGGGTACCGGTGTTCCACGGGCACCACGTCGCTGTCGCGCAGCGTCGCCGACCGCGCGAACGCCAGGGGTGACGCCTCCACGGGCCGTGCGTTCAGCGGCCGCCACACGTTGATGATCCGGTACCGCTGGGCGAGGTAAGCCTCGGCCGCTTCGGGGGACGGCGCGTGTCGTCGGATGCGTTGGGCGGTGGAGGTGGTGGTCTGGTCGATGTGCACGCGGGCGACGGGCTGCCGCGTGCCGTGGGGGCGGCGGATTGTGTCTGATATAGGGAACAGGGTGTTAGTGTGGGTTTTTTTGGTTGGTCTATCTGAAGGGTTGGCTTTTGGGGTGGTATGGGTTGGTTACGTACGGTCAAAGATGATTACCTCGTTTGCGCCTGGGACGTTGTCCAGGAGGAGGCGCTCGATTTCGGGGTAGTAGTTCTTTTTGATGGACTCGTCGTCGGTGAAGGAGGTTTCGGCGGAGGGGGGCTGGTTTTGCAGGATTTGGAAGGCATCTTCGTCGAGAGTGAAGGAGGATTCCTTGCCTCGAGCGTCGTGGATGAGCACGTCGTGGGTGACGGAACCAAAATTACGAAGGGGGACAACACCGGGCGGAACGTCACCAGCGAGGTTGTACGGCACTGAACCGTCTTCGGGAGGGAGATAGAAGTTAAGGGCGGCAACAACGTCGCCACGGGGAGGTTCGGGTACGGCAGCCATGGTGTCGTTGGATAGGGGGCAGTTATTCGAAGCTGGTGATAAGACGGATCAGGTAGTACAAGTAGCTTGTGACGGAGGCCGCGAAGATGATGATGATTAGGAAGATATTCAATTTGTTCGCAGTGATAGAAGTATGCAGTATATATATCTCTTTCTTCTTCTTGGGATTCACGTTGAGCCGAGCAGTCTGTTTTCTAAGCTTTCATTTCAAAGCACGATGATTGATCGAGATACTTCGACCTGGAAGGACGACGTCAAGAAGCCGTTGCTTGCCGATGGCGCAATTCAGCTCGGACTTGTCGCGAATAACTACCATCTGTATTACACAAGGCGTCAGGCGCGAGGTCGTGCAAGGTAAATCCAACCCCTCTGATTTGACATTAGTAATTAGATGGGTAATTTGATGCAGAGATTTCCCCGATTTTGGACTTGAAATCGGGTTAACTTGCTAGTTATTCTATCGAGCCATGTCGCGAGCATGTGAGCATGTGAGCATGGATGTCTCAGCTTCCCGGATTTGTGGGGCTGTTGCTAACTTTCAAGGGGAAAGGTTGTCCCGCTCTCAGTGGATGCGACAAAATGTGATTGGCAGATCATCCAAAAAGACCTTGCCGAAAGAGGCAGCATGTAAACAGTGTTGTGTGGATTTCCTGCGTTGTACAGAGACTTCGCATTGGCCCTCATCAAGCACCGACGCCACCGTTATCGATACCGACGCGCAACCTCGAGGGTTTGGGTTGTTGGGGTGTCTTACCTGCTTACATCCTTGCCTGCGACAAGTATTTTGGCGACAGCGGGATTGCAGCGATGGAGGAGGAGCGCACCATCACGCTGGACCTGGGGTCATCTCCAGATCCATTGATCGACCCAATTCTCAGCCCACCCATGATGCCCCCCTCAGCCATCAAGAAGAAGAGCCAGGCTGCCGAGCACCTGTTTACCGCCCTCGCTCCGTCGCCAAGGAAGCAGACCTTCGAGCTAGATGTCGGAGACGAACGAACACCGCAACGACTACGCGTCACGGTCGAGGCCGACGATGAGGGGACGCGTAGTACCAGCCGTCGCCTCTTCCAGTCACCCACCCCGAAACAACGACGCCTAACGCCGCGGAGGGAAACGATTGTCACAACAAGAGTGCCTCTACGCGGTCTGAGCGACGATGAGGGCGGCGCGCCGAGCAACGCGACACCGAGGAAGAGGGGCCGGCCACGCAAGTCAGGAACTCCCGCCACAACGCGGCGCAAAAGACCTGGGACACCGGCGAAGGGGCGGAAGAGCGTGGGGCGCGCCTCTGCATCTCCTCAAAAGGATACCCTCGCGTCAGACATCGGAATCGAGGCGACGCCGCGTCCCACAAAACGCAAGGCCCTATCGCCAGCAAAAGACGGCGCGCCGCCTAGCCAACCACGGAAACGAGGGAGACCAGGGAAACAGACGATTACTGGAGATGAGGTAGCGCGCCTAGGGCAGGAAATTCCGTCGAAGCAGGAGGGCCACGACAATGCTTTGGTTGTCCCTGCGGTGAATCAACCGAGCGATGGCATGGATGATGATATCTGGCTCGCAACCCTGTCCGGCCAGCCAACACCGGCCCCCCAGAGGCAAGAGCAAAATCACGAACCCGAATTGCCCACCAGCAACCACCACACCGATACCGAGCCCCAACTACCCCGACAGGAAGCAGACTACCAACAGTACGATTGGCCGGACATGGGCGGGGGGGGCGATTCATACAGCGAGGCTGGGTCATTGGCGAGTGACCAGGGCGATGATGACCAGGACTTCGAGGACACCATCATGGCGGAGGAGTTCACCATGATTTCCATTGGCTCCTTGCCATCGATGCAGCCAAACTCAAGTGTGATGGCCCCAGCGCACGAGGAGCTTGGTGAGGCTACGAGCCTGATCATCAACGGCGCGCTGGAATCCCTGAGGCAAAGTCAAAACAGACCGGTGGAAGAAGTTGCAAGCCCCGAGCCGAGCACTCGCCTTCTCGAAGCACAGCAAAGTGCTGTCGAAACTACTTCGGAGAACCGTGCGCAACAACAACAACAACAACAGCAGCAACAACAACAACAACAACAACAACAAGAACCCCAGCTCCCGCCACCTCCTAGTTCACCGCAAGCTTTGAGGCGAAGTCCACGTAGGACAATGGCCCAGCCTCTTGCCAGACAACTTGCCCACAAAAGTCTCCAGCGAGAAGGCCGCCAGTCGCCAGCACCCCGCCAGCCGTCGGTACCCCAACACTCACCAGAACCCCGGCAGTCACCGGCCAGCTTTGAGCACCAGAATACGAGCGCCTACGACGATTCCTTCTCCGAAATTCCCGAGGCCGTGTTAATAGCCGCAACACCTGGGCGACCACGCCAGTCACAACACCAGAAAGAAGTGGCAGCCGAGGACATCCAGCCGTCCATTGAGCGGCCCTCAAGAGTGAACCACTCCAATCCCCAATCTGAAACGAATAGGCTGTTGACTCCTGATGAGACACCCTCCCCGATTCCATCCGATACCGAAGACCACAACCCCCCAACCAAGCCTCCGAGGCCCACATTGGATGTTGACCTCCCCTCCTCTCCCCCGATCGCAAGCCCCGTACTTCTCAGCAACGCCGCCGCGCAACATATCAGACGCAACTCTACGGAGACACCCGCCGATCAACTATCGTCTTTCACATCGTCGAACTTAGGAGCTCGAGACCCCGACCCCGTACACCTACCGCTCCCCGAACCCCACCGCCGACCGACTCTCTCCCCCATCGTTCGTGCCGGACGTGCCCTGCAACTCATCACATCGGACCCACCATCACCTCCAGAGAGGGGCAGCGTGCTCGGGAGCCCGTTTCGAAGCTCTGTGCCCAAGTCGAGCCAATCGCCCGTACCAGTTCTGCCCCCTGCCGCGCCGGCAGCCGGGGCAACGCGGTCTCCATCGCAACCTCGAATCGATCCTTTGGCCCAGTCTCCATCGAGGTCTTGGCTTGCACCCTTAAATCAAATGAAAGACTTTATCGTCCGCCGCGCTCAATCACTCTCCCCGGCACGTGTCTCCGTTTCCGGTACAGATAACATGGATGACCCGTTTGGGCCCGATCCGGGCGAATCGGCCGCGGCTGGCTCCGTACGTACTACCTTGTTTAGCGGCCGTAATCGGCAGGGAATCGACCGTGATGCTACTGTCAGTGTCGCCAGTTCACCAGGCGCAAATTCTGTGAATGATGGAGACAAGATGAGCTGGCAGGACCAGGGAAGCCCTGCAGGACACTCACAAAAATCTGCCTCTCCCATTCTGGGCGAAATTACGAATCGTGAGCTTCCGAGAACGGGCGGGGACCGACCAAGGATACAAGAGCAAACGAACCGACCAGATTTTGCAATGTCGGTCACGGCTCCACCCACAGATACCAGGCCGCAGGTGGTTTTGGAGCAGCAAGAACAAACGTACGACGAAGGGGAGGAGGATGAAGACGATGACATCTGGGCCATTGAAGCCCAGCGTCCCGCTCCTTTCGCGCCAAGGAATGTGCCGACTAGGCGGGAGCCGCCCCGCGAACCACCTCAAAGAAACAAAACCCAGAGTCTTTGGGAGCAAAATAGCCGGCATCTGATGTCCAGCGATGATGGAGACCAACCCTCCTCCAACAATGCTCCTGTGAGAGACGCTCTCACGAGTGGGGAGCACGAGCCCAGAAGACCTGTGCAGACCCTGACGGAACAAGTCCCAGTCCGTTTTGAGAGAAACTCACCCATGGAGGACGAAGAATTTAGCATGCTATCTCAAATTCGTCAGAGGAAAGCAGCAGCACCCACCAGCCAACCAGCGAAGAAGCCGGACCTTTCTGCCTTCTTCTCGTCGCCTGCTGTACTCCCCGATATGGACCAGGCACTTGGTGCTGGCTTGTCCAAAACATTGGGCTCTCAAAATCCACGGCAGATGGACTCGACTCTACAAAAAACACGAACCATGCCTGTTCAAAAACAGCAGTCATCCGGAAATAGCTTGTTTGCTCAGTATCTTCAGCCGCAGGCCGACAACCGATTGCCCTCTGTTCCACAGAAGCAGCTTGAAATTGGAACCCGCCAAAAGAGTGTTGACCTATTTTCTCCCGCCCGGGATAGCGTCGAACAAAGCAGTCCGGAGCAAGAACTCGCACCTGTCCAGCGACCCAACTTTTTACATAATGTAAAGGAGGCCGCGCCGGCTAACTTCTCCGAGAGGGCAAGCTTCGCGCCACAGCAGCATTTGTCCGTAAACAATGCAAGAACGGCCGCTCCTATTCCACGAGAGATCTCGCCAGAAAGTGAGGAGGATGCTCCTTTAGACCATATTCCCCAAAAGAAGAACTTCACCCCTCGCCGGCGACAAGCCAATAACACGCTCTTCCAACCAAAGCCCGTGGCTCCGGCAAACTCGCTGTTTGGCAACAATCAGATATCATCTTTCTTCTCTCGATCTCGCCCCCAGTCTCAGCGGCCCCATACCCAACCACGAGCAGGCGAGGACGAGGACGAGGAAGAAGAAGCGAGCTTCGTGTCGCCTCCGCACAAGGCTATTCCAGACCGAGCAGGTTCGCCCACAAAATCATGCATCCGTTCGCCTCTCAAACCCAAGACACCCGGGCGCGTGGTCGAGTTCACCAGCAGCACCCTCTCCCCGCTGGCGCAAGCTCAGGCCCGAGCCGAGCGGCGCGCGAGCATGTCACCCGAGAAGAACGACAGCACGAGGAGCAGCCATGGGAATGTCTTGACCAACAACAACACGGAAGCGGACAAAGAAAACCGCTCCTCGTCACCATCCTTATCCCTATCCCCGTCCCCATCCCCCTCTCCCTCCCCACCACGAACCCAACGCCGCCAAACCCTCACCTCCGCCCCAACAAACCACACCACCACCACCGCAGCCCAGCAGCAGCAGCAACCACAGCGCCTATCCCCCAACAAATGGACCCGCGCCCACTGGCTGCGCCTCGACGAGCTCCTCCAAGCCCGCAAGCGCGGCTCCCTCCAGCTGCAGCTCCTGCTCGCCCGCTCCCCAAACGCCCGCCTTGCTTCTTCTTCTTCTTTCTCGTCATCATCCTCCAGCGGCAGCCTGCGACAGCTCCTGGGGAAACAAGTCACGGCGCAGGGCGAGCGGATGGAGATCCAGGGGTGGCATTTGGATGTGGTGGAGGGGTTTTTGGGGGAGCTTGGTAGTGGCGGTAGTGGTGGGGATGGATATGGTGGTTCTGGCGGCCCGGCGGTGGCGTGGGGGGGCACGCAGATTGCGAAGCGGGTGTTTGCGCTCTTGGTGGGTGAGGAGAGGCGGCGGTTGGGCTTGGTGCCTTCCTCTAGGGGGGGCAGGCACGGGTCGGGGGTGGGAGGCGGAAAGGGAGTGGGTGGAGGAGGAGGATGAGTTTTGAAAGGGTTGGGAGAGAGAGTTTCATATGTGTGGTTGTGTTCAGGCGGTGGTTGTGGAAGTGACCTATGGGAAGGAAAAGAGGTGGCCTCTGCATCGGTGCTTGTCGGGTTTACAGCACTGTGTGGGATGATGTGACGAAGCGATTACGAGTTTGATATAGTATAGTGCATATGGCGTTGGGGGTCCCGGTTGGGTTTGGACATTGGGAGATCGATAGGCTTGATACCAGCGAGATGTTGTACGGTTCGGTTCATTCACGTTCAGCTATTTTAAGCGCCCGTGCCAGTGTGTCTCTATTGTTACAGACCCCGCCATCCCTCGCGTACGCTCACTCCAACATGGACGCCTGATTCGTGTAGAGCACGTCCACCACGTTGCTCAGCTTCTCGATTGTCGACAGCGCCGCATCGTACGACTCGTCCCGATGGGTCTCGTCGAAGATGATCAGGCAGCCGGCACCCTGGTCAAGCACGCCAATGATCACCTTGTCGAGGATCATTTGCGATAACTTGCGCTCGACTTGCTGGGTATCTAGCCCGACCATCTTGGCGATATGGTTGATCTCGACGCGGCTGAAGGGCTCGATCACCTTGATCAGGTTCTGCTCCAACATGGCGTCGTACAGCCGGCGCAGGTGGTTGCGGACGAAGGCGTCGCTGCCCAGCTCGTACTTGTAGGCGGACAGCGCACGCTCGTACTCCTCGAGCGACCGGTTCGAGTGTGCCCGCGCGATCGCCTTCATGGCCTCGAGCGACTGGCCCGCGTACTTGAGCGCTTGCTTGGACGTCATCAGCTGGTTAACGTCGTCGGCCAAGTTGAGCATGATCTTGCACAGCAGCATGTACTGCAGCGCCGCCTGCGCGCGTGCCGGCTCGTCCTGCGAGTGGTACCCGTCAAGCGCCTCGATGAAGTAACTGTAAGCCGTCTGGAAGTCCTTGTCCTCGGCGTGCAGCATCCCGGACTGCATGTCGAGGTTAGCTTGCAAGAGGGGGGGGGTGTAGACCGAGGCGGCAGAGGTGCGGGCGCTAGTGAGGGCGGCGCGTCCCTTGGAGATGTTTCCGAGGGCATGGTACACTCGGGACTCGAGAAGCTGCACTTCCACTAGCACCAGCTTGTCGTCCATACGCTTGAGCTCACGCAGCAATCCGTTAATCAGGGTAAGGGCATCGTAGTATGATTGCTTGGCCATGTAGAGGGTGACGAGGCGCGTCTCGAGATTCTGGCGAAGGAAGCTCCGTCGCTCTGAAGTGGCCCATTCTATGCATGATTTTGTAACTGAGATTTGTATATCGAGGGAGTTGGGGATGGCGTCGAAAAGGTCGAGGAGCTGGCGGACTGGCGGGGTAAAACATGTCAGTAAATAGGTGATTCAAACGAGGATAAGGTGGAGAAAGTATAAGATGGAGGAGCGTACTCAGCTTGGCTGTTTTTGCCTTTGCGAATGAGGACAACACTGTCCTACTCTTCGTTACCAGGCCCGCGAGCTCATCTGTGTTCCTGTGCCGTGTTAGACCCGAGCCCCTCGACTGACCGCCACAGACCCTCCACCTACTTCTGGTCGCGGTAGAGCTCTCCCAAGTTAATAAGGGCAGCCTCATATTCCTTGACGGCCGCGTCGGACGTCACGGATGGCGGCTTTGAGATGATCTCTTTGTAGATACCCTCTGCCTTGCGCGGGTCCGACTTGGCCAGCTTCTGCGCCTCGCGCACCCTCTCCGAGTCGCCCTGCGCCATCGTATAGAGTAGGATCGAGGGATGTGGTCTTCGTGGTATTGGGTTATCTGGAGTACGATGATGGGGAGATTCGTCGCGGGCAGCGTAGGGAATGGTTGGTCGCGATGGCTGTGTTGGTGTTGGGTGCGTGTGCGGTTGCGGCTCCAAATCCAACGCCCGCCAATGCCCTGCAACCCAGCAGCACCTCAGGTCCAGGTTGCCGCAATCCGACGTAATGGGTTGAGCGGCAGCTGGTCTTGGCGTCTCCGCCTGCTGTGGCTTTTGTGGCTGGGTTTGAATGCGGTGAGCAGTTCTGCCGCCAGACCCCGCCAAAATTTAGAGTTTCGCCGTCTGGATTGAACGCGGCCGAGCTCCATGCATCCAAGCAGACCAAAGCATTCTCTACCAACATCGAAGTCGAACTACGGCCACCCGATCAGACTCCAAACCCGACCCAAACTATTGAAGGCGCTGAATATACGGCCACCTCAGACATCATGAAGGTACGAGCTAGGACCCAGCACCGCATCAACCCCCATCTTTTCAGAGACACCATCAAACCCTACAAGACTCGACCATCTAGCAATACGGATGCTAATATCCTTACTGGTAGATCAAAGCCCTCAGCCGGGCAACCTCGACTCAACAAGCGCCGGGATCCGATGTCCAGCGCGCGCCGCGCAATCTCGCCCCGGAAATCCACCCCTTCGAACGAGCTCGGGAATAGTACGTGGGCACATTGGGAGGAGTCGAGAGCGGTTCTGACATTGGGAAACAGCCAAAGAGCCCTCAATGCGGTCAAGCTGTGAGGATACCTATTCCGTTGCCGTATAAGAGCCGGAGGCTAACTAGTACAAGAGAACGCATGTTCGCCAAGCCCTTCCTCGGCCAGCTAGGGAGCGGTCATGTTCAGGGCGTGTATAGCATGTGCAAGGTCTGTTCTCGCGAAGTATCTGGGGAGTATAACTGTGGTGGTGCTGACACTCCGCAGGACAAAAACTCCCTCAACTCAGTGGCTTCGGGGTCCGGCGACGGCGTCATAAAAGTCTGGGATCTCACGACACGCGATGACGAGACCTGGCGTACAGCTGCGCAGTAAGTGCTTCATTAAGCCTGTGGCAGGGAACCTCAAAGCTGACTATATCTCTCAGCTCCAATATCGTCAAGGGCTTGACCTTCACCAACGACAAGAAGCTCCTCTCGTGCGCTACTGACGGTATCAAGCTGTGGGACCCCTACAGCGCGTCCAAAGACACCACACCGATTGCAACTTGGCAAGAGGGCGGGCCGTACACATCGTTGTCCGTTCACAGAACTGGGAACGTTTTTGCCAGTTCGTCGGGCGCCGGGTGCATCCGGGTCTGGGATCTTGACCAGAGCACCGCCGCACAAACATTACAGTGGCCCAACTTCACGGATACCATTACCGATGTTTGCTTCAACCAAGTTGAGACATCCGTCATTGGCTCCGTTGCCACCGACCGCTCTCTCATCCTCTTCGATTTGCGGACAAACAGTGAGTTACCTACCCCTGAATTCAAACCAAGACAGAGACTGACCCCGAGTACAGTGCCTGTCATCAAGACGGTGCTCCAGTTCGCGGCCAACCGTATCGTCTTCAACCCGATGGAAGCTATGAACTTGGCTGTAGCGTCAGAAGGTATGTCTCCCGCCACGATTGGGAAGGGGGAATGCTGACAGTCTAGACCACAACATCTATGTTTTCGATGCCAGGAATTTCAATAGGGCGCAGAACATCCACAAGGGCCACGTTGCGGCTGTAATGGATGTTGAGTTCTCCCCCACTGGCGAGGAGCTGGTTAGCGGTTCTTATGTGAGTCTTCGTTCTTAGACCCAGTGAGGTTCACAAGCACAACCGCTGACTTTTTCGTAGGACCGAACCATCCGGATCTGGCGCCGCGACCAGGGCCAGTCCCGCGACATCTACCACACCAAGCGCATGCAGAGGGTATTCCGGACCATGTGGACCATGGACTCCAAGTACCTCCTCAGCGGAAGCGACGACGTACGTCACTGAGCCCCTGTGCGGCCCTCGCATCTTGCTACTTTACTAACATTATTGTAGGGCAACCTCCGGCTATGGCGTGCCAACGCGTCGGAGCGCAGCGGTGTCAAGTCGACCAAGCAGCGGCAAGCGCTCGAGTACAACAGTGCGCTCATGGAGCGGTACTCGCACATGCCCGAGATCAAGCGCATCCGCCGCCACCGCCACCTGCCCAAGGTCATCAAGAAGGCGGGCGAGATCAAGCGCGACGAACTGGGGGCCATCAAGCGGCGCGAGGAGAACGAGCGCAAGCACTCGGACAAGAAGTTCCAAAAGCGCGTGGGTGAGCGGGAGAAGGCGGTGTTGGTCAAGCAGCAATAATGCATGGTTTATTCGGTGGCAGTGGCGGCTATGATTTGTATGGGACGCCTAGGTGGGTTGCCATTCTTTTGCATTGGGCGGCGTTTTGGGTGTTGCTTAGGAGGTATCTCCTTGGAGGCTAGGTCTGATACCATGCGTGTCTGGTGTTGTACGCATATAAATGAAAAGGTTTGGTAATGTATTGGGATTATCCGTTTGGTTTTCTTGCGCACGTTTCAGACACCTTCATGCAAACGGAGAAACGGGCCGTGATCGGCGCTATCTTGTTCAAGATGCCGAGTAGAGGATGGCGATAATTGAAGGCAAACGGCCGATACGCGCACGTGGAACACAAAATGACGATGAGGTTCAAGTGTGATTCTGCCCTAAAATAGATACGGCTTGTTGTTTGGAGATCAATGGCAGATCTGGCGAACAGCACCCCTGGTACAAGTCCTCAATGAGTTCAACCGGAGAATCACGGCCCTGCGGTGGTTTGTTCTACACTTTATCCAGAAACTTATTAGGATATCGCAACTTGCGTCTACCGCAGCCATTATAGAACGGACACCTCTAGCACCTATCCTCACCACGCTCACTCAAAACAGTTTCATGAAGGTCCGCATTGACGACGTGCTCAGCCGAGATTGGGGATAAACTTTGATGATCTACGGTTCCCGGCGTCGATGAGACAACCATTACACCCCCTTGAATTAAAAGCCAAAGTAGAGCTAGCTAACCGCCTTTCGGAAACTTGTGTGTTGCGGCAACCCGGATCTCATTTGGCAATCAAGCGGCTGCTGATGTTGGCTAATATGGTCTGCCGAAGACTGACTCGGTTTCCGGGTACTGCAACTACGTCAATTACCTAGAAAGCTCTCCAAGCTGGGCTACTTACATCTCTCAAGTATGTACGAGCAAGGCTACAAATGTCATCTGAATATACTGGTCCACGATCCTCCTCTGGCGTGAAGATCACTCCACCGACCCATGGCAGTGCCTCTTCCACGTTCTATCCTGGACAGCATCCGCCAAAAGCATGACTAAACTTCTTGTGTGTCTGAGCATGTTGACTCCTAAACGGGCTAGAGAAGCTACCCGCAGACTGCTTCATAGCTCGGAGATCTGAAACGCCAGGCGTCCAACCGACTGCTCGGCCACTCATTCAACTTCCTGGGCCGTTCAACACCGCGGCGGCCCGTGAGCACGGCACGCTTTCACGAGCCGCACATGGCGGGTTGAAGCAGTAGCAGCCACATCTAAACGACTCCCAACCCCGGTTGAGGCTCAATTTTTCCAGCCGCGTGCGGCAGGTCTCGCATGGATTTCCCCTTTGCATGGCTACTACATGGACAGCAGCCACGATCTACCTGCCGTCTTGGGTCGTTGGTTGCGAGATCTCGTAGCACACCTGGATCGGCCCACTGTTACATGGTACGCGCGTTGCCTCGGCCTCTCTTCTCGGTTCAAGCCACCACACCTGACGTGGGGCTGGTCCCGATCTCTGGATCTCGCGTTTTGGGCTCCGTCTGGGGTTTTGTCATTGGCGGCTTAGCCATCCCCATGTTTGGATTTTCAACTCAAATAAGCGATGTTGGGGAAGAGCATGGGCTGAGTGTCGATTGTGTGGCTTGTTGGGTATTCTTAGTGCCGCCTCCCGCGGATCTTATGATGTGTGTTCCTGGGCTTCTTTCGACGAGCTTCTCTCTGGCCCAGTCCATGACGGTATTAGATAAACCGTTTCGACCCCTTCTAGTCTGAGGGCCATTTCTCTATCACGACACCCAGTACCTAATAGCAATATAAGGGGTGGCCGCCATCTCACATCATAATCGGTTTGAGCGATCACTCGACACTAGCAATGGCTGACTCCGAACCCGTCACTAAACCGAAGACGCGATATGGAGATATTCCAGCAGACCTCTCCTTTGAGGAGGTTATCCAAAACCGGACCGCTCCAGTCAGCGAAGTCTCTGATCCCATCTCAACGAAGACTAACACTTTCGCAGCCCTGCTCGTTGAGCGATTTCATGGACTACCTCTTCTACGTCGAACGGAACGCAGAGCCTCTACAGTTCTTTCTTTGGTACTGGGATTATATTCAGCGCTGGAGCAACTTGCTGCCCAGACAGAAGGCGCTTTCTCCGCCGTGGGACCCAGAGAAAGCCATGGAGCCACCGTCCCGGTTCATCAAGTACAGCCATAAGCGAGAGCAAAGCTTGAAGATGAACAAGATTCTCACTATCATGGAGATGGGATCTCAACGGGCATCATTGGGACGATAGTAGTAGCCTAGAGATGACGGCCAAATCGCT